AGACTGATAAAGTGAAGACATTCAATCCATATATTGATATCTCTGAAATGTTTGAAAAAAGAGAAGGGAGACAACAATGTAAGGATCTGAAACAACTACTGAGAAATAAAATAGAGAATGCTTTTTGAACTACAGTGTAAATACAAATAAAAATGGGCAGTAAAATAGGTATATTTTAAATTATTTGACAAGAGTACATTATTGGTTCTTGTAATTACAGTACAAAAAGGCACACAAATGATGAAATTCTCGAAGGAAAATAATGAATAGAAACAACAATTTCCTTTTTGATAAAATGTAATGCTGTTCCAGGGTTGGATTTCCTGAACTACATCCGAACTTAAAAAATTGATGTTTTGATTAACGAATTAGGTGAGATTGATAGGTTTATTTTTTTTTTACAAAAAAAAACTTGCATTGCAAGATCATTTATACAAACATGTACATCTTTCTCCATTTCTCTAACTTGTATAGTATAATGTATATAATGCAAATGTAAATGTACAATTTCATAACAAATGGTGGATTTTGTTGTGGATGATAATTTCAGATGACATCAACGTCCTACGAGACAAATCCCTCCTACGGTGAGATAATATCAATGTAGACAATGATTCTACCACTCCGTAATGTGTCATGTGAAATCAAGAAAAAATCTGCTTCAAACAAAAGCTTGTACCAGTTCATGAGCTTACTCTCATATGCAATGTAATTGCATACTTTTTTTCTGTCCTGAGTGAATGTTGAAAAATTCTCTACAGAAAAAAGACAGTGTTCTATATTTGGCTAAGAATATAATTGCTTAATTAAGGTCCTGTTCTGAGTTGTGAAAAGAATGTGTATTGATTCACAAGAGTAATTTACATGAAATTTGATGACACTTCATACCTTTTCATATCACTTTGAAAATTTCTTAAAAGAAAAAAATCATACCTCCAGTTGTCTATTTTCAGAAAATGTTTCATAACTTTTTACCCCTTTGCAATTTTTTTCCCTTCTTAACAGTTATTTTGAAAAAATAATGCTATATGTACTTAACTATGCAACTGTAGTTCATGTTCTGACTGAACGAAAGGTATCAGGGGCCTGAATTGTTCAGTTTTATGGTACATGTAATTTGAAAGTATATCTTAACACTGAACGACTTATGTAAGTCCAAAAAACTAAAGATATGAAATCAGGATTTAACTTGAACGACCCATAACTTCAACTGGTGTTTGTCATTGCAAAATGAATATGAAGACTTGAAATACCCTTATCATTTTGATACTATGCAAGTCGGGGCAATTTTAAGAAAATCGAAGCTGCAGAAAAAATGCTTTTAACTGTTAGACTTCTATGACCTCAAAAGTAGGTTATGGTCATTTATCCAAGTTCACCTGATGACCTTGCATCTGGTAAGCTGCATGCCATATACTTATCCTGCAGCTTGCTAAATTTTATTTTTAAACTTTTTCTTTTCTTTTGAACTATCTTAGAGGTGTTAGTTCTAGATGAGTTAATCAGAAGAAAGACAAAAAAATGACAATGAATGGACAAAAAATGTAGTGCTATATATAATGCCTATGGGCACTTCATTCCAGATGTGCTTAACTTTTCATAAAACTGATATGAAGCATGTAAAATAGTAACTGTGGCAAGTAGAACCAGAAGCTTTGAAATTAATGCCACTAGGACGATATCAAATGCTATACAATATCTTTTTAACTAATTTCATGAAATGCTGCTACACTTACTGATGTGTGTACACTTCACCACCATCAACTTAGCACTTACGAATAAAACCAGGCACATGCAATCCAGTATCCTTATTTGAAGTGATAAGTACATCTGCCATAAAAAAGTTTTGTATGTATCAGGCTGAGGTAGTTAAATATGAATGAAATCATGCTTTTAATGGACATCTTACAAAAGCACAAAAAAAAAAAGATAAAAAAATTAATCTGAAAACAGACCTAAGTTTTGTCCCTGTTAATTTGGTGTCTAATGTTTTACTGCTAAGTACAATACCCATACATTGTGAAACCAAGATGTTCTTTTTCACGTGGTCTTAAGTCTGATAAGGGTAGAGAAATGAGAAACTGGTGTTTTTGTTTTGTAAAAGTTGATATAATTATTTGACAATATCATCAGCCAGTGCTCACAGTATGTTGTATTAAATATTGATCGTTATAGAGATTCCACTACCTCCACTCTCACACTTTCTCATAAAATAACTCTCACACTTTCTCATGAATTAAAAAAAAAGACCAATTACACACTTCAATGATGAATTTGCATTCTCAGATTATTTTGTAACGCTTCAGAAGTTTTATATATATACAGTCAAGCGTATTTACAAATTTAATCACAAAAGACAAGTAACTCATGTTGTGAGACTAAGGACTTGTAGTTTTGTACAAGTATGTGGGACAACATATTAAACACCAAGCATGTCATCTGTGGTGTCCCAAATACTACCTAAACAACAGAAGTCATCTATAAAACTTGCACTACAACACTGGTTTCTACTGTTTGGCACGTTGACATAAGAGTAGAAATCAAAATTTACTGGCTTTTTATAGGACGAGAACAAAAGTCACCCCTTCAATATCTGTTTTAAACATTGGTACTAGACCATGTTAGTATTCAATAGTGCTGAATATTCTACAGAAGAAAAATCAGAATAATTCCTTCTTTGCTGCTATAGATGAAGTATGGTTATGTTACAACTTTAGCTAACATTATTTCAGTGTTAGATTTTCCTCTATCATTCTTCTGAACATCTCCCACCCCCCCATCCCCGCCACCTCCTGTCAATATAAAACCTATATGCTCACAGGTGCCGGACACTAAAATATACTGATACATATGAGGTGTATGTATATACTTGAATAAGCCCTTGGGTATGAAAACAATCGCAGACTTTAACTGCGGGAAAGGCATTATTACAGGATAAAGAAACAACATTTTTTGTCATTTAAGTGACATAGTTTTAATTGGGTTTATTTCAAGGCTTTTATTATTGGCTGAAACATAGCAAAAATAAACCATAATACTTAAACATATGGCTGTTTCCCTGCTCAATCACTTCATAATTCCCAACCACTTTACAACGCCTAACTTAAAATTGACAAAATAAATTTGAGGGCAGTATAACAAGGTTGACGCTACACCAAATCATTAACCAATTCCTTAAACCGCCATTGTGTAAACATCTTTAAACTCAACACCAAAATCTTTAGATGTAAAATCTCTGTTGTACGATGAGATTGGGAAATTGTTATTATGTGGGGGGACTAACTATCAGTTGTCTGGAGTGAGAATAAGCTTTATTAGTTAAAGTTAGATACGTGTCACTTAAACATATCAGTTGTTCATCTGTAATTCACTAAATCTTCAGGATTACAGTAAGGGTATTTCTGTTAAGGATGTATATTAATACAAGGTAATTGTGTCAATCTTATATTTAAAGTTTTTGTGGCAAATATCTGGATACAATTACAAAATTCTGTTTAAGTTTTAATCAAAATTGATACCTTTAAGAGCAAAGTAACAGATCAAAACAAACTGCTTTTTAAAACAGAATTTTTTTTAGCCCTTACCACGTTTTCGTTTGTTCTCTATATAGTATTTCGTTAAATGATTCTTCATACAATAAAAAACGAGTCACATAAAAATCATATTATAGATTATCTCTATATTCCGTCAATTCATTCTATCTTTGTCCGTAAATGGCTTCTACATTAAAACAACAATGACATTCAGGTTGGTTATATTGAATATAAACACGAATAGCTTTATCACATTTCTAACTATAATCTTCAGTGTAAACTCCTTGATTACACCTATAACAAGGATTTTTAACAGAATTTATTTTTCTACTAAAATAATATATTTATATGTACAATAAAGAATGTGAAATGCAGATTTTGTTTATTGATAAAATTATCTTCCTATTAAATTGTTCTTTTAGGACTGATCACATGCTATTCCACTTTAACACAGAACAAAGACCTTTTCACATTCACAATGGTATATATGCTTCATTTATAAACCTAGAGTTTTGTTTTTGATGGAATAAATTGCAATAAGTGGATGTTAGCGGCATTATCAGAATGTTTTCATATCAATTATTTCTATCAGATGATATAAAAAGCAAAACTACAATAACAGAAAGGTCATAATTTGAAATTTAATACTGGCTACTTATGTTATTTTTCATCAAAACAGATTTTAATATGCAGGTTTTATTACAGTGTATATTGAAAAAAATGATGCTCTATCCTTACACCATAAAAATGAAACTTCTACCATTTTTTGAAATTGCCAAAAGAGTGAGTTGTCTGAAAACAGCCATACTGATATCTCCAGGATCAAACTGGATTTTCTTGGACTTTACTTTTAGAAAATTGGCTCAGGTAAAATCAGATCTTAAATTCAGTTATCACAATCCACTCATGTGAAGTAACAACAAAAACAAATCTGTAGGTTTCTTTTTAACTTATCAGCACTTACACACGTAACACTTACTTAAATAGGTTATGTAAATATCAACAAACTTGTCTGCTTTGTACACAACTTAATAAAATGTACTAAACATATATCTAGACAGATACATTAACACTAATAAAATACCTTGTTCTTTCATTACAAAATCATCACATTCTTGATATTTTTGCTTTGGCAAACACATGATAAATACAGTACAAGACAAAAAAGTGTCAGTATGCTTAAGTATGCCTTAACCGAAAAAAAAAAATATATATATAATAATATTTAATAATAATAAAGATATGAAAAAAAATAGTTTGATGAAACAACATTTATATTACAATTAAATTTGTTTATAATGACAGAACACAAGAGATTGCTATGCAACATTGATATCAAATTGGAACACTGAAAACTGAACTCATTTCTGATGAAAAGTTGCTCTCAGTTTTTTTTTTAAATTTTAAATATCACATAATACATCTATATAATTATTATATATAATATATTTAAGTGTACCGTTTGCCTCAGTAGAGTACATCATGCTTTTCAAAGTCCGAATAGCGGAATTGTGATTCTGGTTGTATAAGTGGAGCTGTTATATCCTGACTCTGTCCATCCATGTCAATGTCGAGGAGTGTGGTCTGGTGAGAGATGTGCGGTGGGGTGTGACCAGGAGACAAACTCGAACGAGTTGAGTAGTAAGGGGTTGTGTCAGAGTTTCCATCTTGCTGCCTGTACATCGCTTCATTTTTGTCAACCTGCACGGGTGAGGCCTCACTGCCGGCAACCTTTTTGTTGTTCTGCTGAAGCGGTGGTATTCGCACAAGAGTCGGTCTATGTCGAGGCCCAACGTCCAGCGTTGAGGGCCTCTCTGGCACAGAGACATCTCCATTTGTGTTTATGCGACGGCGTGGGGGAATCGGCGGTGGAGCATCGGACTCCTGCTGTCTAGAACTGTAGTCACTGCGATGCAAAGAGGATCTGCTTGGCGTGCCCCGTGACTCAAAGTCAGGAGGTGGAATGGGTGGGCCGAAGCCTGTACCTGAGGAATTAGGAGAGTGTCTACTTGTGTTGTTTTTACTGTCTCGGATGTAATCCGGTTTGAAATCATCTTCGAATGTCACAGAATGTCTATGGGAATTTTTGGATGTTCTCGGTGTGTCGTAATTACTTCCCTCAGAGGTTTGTCTCTGGAGCATACCATGTCCCCGATGTTCGGGATATGGAGATGGAGAAATGACAGTGCTGGTATCACTGTCACTGTACAAGGACTGTCGTTTAGGTGTGGAGTGTGATGTAATAGTGCTTGTGGTGTGTGTCGATGTAGTGGTAGAATTTTGTTCATTCTGTTCTGTAAACCTTATAGGCACATCCATGTTAATGCTTGGGCGATGCCTCACGTTGTAGCCATGATATGTATTGTGTGGGTAGCCAGAGGTTGAGGTAAAACGATAAACTGAGAATTCATCCGGTTCAATGAAGGAATCCCGCACAGCTGCCATATAGGCATCACGGCGATTCCCTATGTGGGAGTCTCGTTTTCTGCGCACAACACGATTGTCCTCCCGTGAGTTCTGCGGGGCAGGAGGTGTAGACCTGATGTCAAACCCTGCTGCCACGGCAACCAACATGGCTGCCATATTGAGCAACACAGACTCAGTCTTACTTTCTGTCTTTTTTTTGTCTGGTAGTGAAGAACTTTTCCCTGAATCTCCAGACTCGTACGGAATGTTTCTCCCTCGCATCTCCTCAAAAAGCTCCACCGGCAAGTCATTCTCATCACCATCTGGAACACAGCCACAACAAAATAACTGTATTACGTTGAAAACATTTAAAAATAACCAGTTCCAAACCATGGAAATTACTAGCAACCTTTTCTTGTCATTACAATCTTCACCATTTTTTTCTTTACCTGATAAATGTTCTTTAAAATTAGAGATCATGATAACTGATTTTAACACAACTTGATCCAAAACCTTCTTATAGTCCAATTAAGTAAGGACTGGTGAACATCCGGTATCAGTTTGACCAGATTACTATATATAGTCTGATTAGATGTCAATATTCACTTAATGGATGATGGGGTTGTTCAGACAACACTTCACATCCTGTAACATCTAATGTCTACAACCAACACCCAATGTCTGCTAAAGTTTAATAGAGTCAGAAGTAAACAGATCACTTGTCCACAGATATTTCTAGGTCAAATGGGTCAAAGGACAACAGTCAAGGTAGTAAAGGTCAAAAATCTTTTCCCACTTCTCTCAATAAAAGATTCAAGAATTAAAGCAAGGTAAAAAGTCTTTCTTGTCATTATGCTTTAAGGGTTAAAATCAAAATGTCTTCCAACACCCAGAACAAAAGGTCACACAATAGGTTCATGCAAATTAAGGAAGTTAGAAATAAATAAATGAAACTGCATTATCAGGAGAGAATGACAGAAGTTTCTCATAGATATACTTTAATAAACAATTATGTTTGATGTACCTAATATCTTTTCTGTATTTTCAATTTTTCAGTACTTGTCATATATTTCACACTTTACATACGACATTGACAACAAGAAAATTTCTTTTATTTCAACCAGTATAAAGCAACACAATAAACTTCACGACACTCAACCAGATGGTTACTTAGAAGTGTGAATGGAAATTTCATATAAGAAATGGTATATTTTGTTCAACCATCTAATGTGGGCTGAAAGATGTTTTCAAATCTTACAGTTTATATATAGAATATATGTACATATATATTTACATTTAGGAGAGCAGCTCTCGAATTTAAAATCATTAGAGGGCAAGCTCGAAATAATTTAGATTCTAGATTATCTGTAAAAGATGTGTCTTCTAGATGCACTAGAGCTACCACAGCAGAGAAAATAGAATTTCCTGTAGCAAAAACAGTTATTGATAAAAGCTCTTTTACCTACAGTTGCTTTGTTTTATTGAGTGATCTCAGTGCATAGGAATATACGAGCAAATCTGGCTCCTACATCTCGGATATCTGACAGTGTATATGTACATCTTTTAATTAGGTTGTATTTAGTACTATTTACCAGATATAATGTCTTATCATTTAGTCTGTACATATATGTTTCAAACAGACATTGTCTAAACATTTTATCCTATGAAGATAAAAGATATTATTGATTGAGAGAGAGAGAAAAAAAAAATAAACAGCCTTGAGTGTTGAGTCAATAGTAATAGCTGTTAACATGGGATTTCCCAAAGTAATAAGGAAGATTTTATGCTGATGTTTGTTTTTAACTCCAAACATGACCTTGACCTTATATAGACACCTGTGAAATGGTTTGTTAGACAGTAACATGTGATCAGCAGAAATATAACTACGTGTCTCAATCATGTATATTGATGTATCTGTGTAGAAAAGGCTGCGACAAGGAAATATGGACACTTGACCTTTTTATTAATGTTGACCTTGTAAGGAAATATGTACCTTTTACCTCCTACAGCAACTTTAATAAGTACTTAAAAGGTCTATCTACAAGTGACCATAATGTTTGAAGTTTGGTCAAAGTGAGGAATCTAATCCCAAAACATGTCTATAGCTGAATGGGGTGAACATGTCTAAGACCAAACACCCAGGAACACAATCACACATTTTTTGTTCATTCTGTCAACATTAACTTCTTATTTCATTACACAACTGAAAGAATGTCTTAATAAATAAACTTTAAATGTACTTGAAATTGGGATATATTAAATCAAAAAGTAACTTTCCTCGTTAAATCTGTTTCTGGTACAAGCTGATCTAGTTCACCACATGCAAGATTTTTCTCTAGGGGCTGCTAACAGCCCAGTAAATCGTACAAGATTGCTTTTACACCTGCCCACAACCGCGAAACATTCATACCTTCTGAAAATAAGCTGCAAGGCGACTCATCCGAGACTGTCAAAAAGACCCATTTCATCTTGATATCAAATACAGAATGATGAAAAATTTATTTCTTACAAAAAATAATGACCAATGTCTCAAAAATATTTCACTAGAAAATTTTTTACACTTAAGTTAAATCCCAGCAATTTACTTATTTTTGACTAAAAATGTGTATAATTGTTCTACTTTCAATCCTGATTTCTGAACAATTTTCTGTTTTACATATTTCTGTTTTTAAAATGAAGATAATTGCAAATATTTCAAATACATACAATACCATACAGATTGTTTCACAAGTCACAGCTGGCTAGTGAAGAACATTTAAGGTCCGATGTTTTATGTCCACTAAGGGATTGCTCTCAGACAGTCTGATAAGTGGGACTTATGCATATACAGTTCCCCAAAATAGTTCATGATCCAGAATATGCTCTATTGTCTCAGAATAATTGTCTATAAGAAAATTACAATCACAAAACTTGACCTAAAGCTATGAATACAATCAAGGGTCCTATATAACTGAGAAAAATACATACTATCACACCAATGCTGTTCCTTATTACTTGTTTCATCTAAAAACATCCACTTTGACCACTACTTAAAAACGTCTTGAGTGTCCTAAACCTATTACAGGGATGTCGACAAGGTATATAAATTAGGGAGTTTTTATCAGTACATATATAAATTTGATAGACTGTTCCAAATGAGTGACAGTTCCTTATTGTCCATCACATATAAAAGAAATCATCTGCTCTTTGACCACTACTTACAAAGTTCTTGAAGTGCCCCTATATTGGAATGTCCACCTATATGTTTGAGAGATCGTTCTAGGTTTGGAGCACTTTTAGACCACCGTCCATCACCAAAAATAACGGATGACCTAGGATGGCGATCCTTTTTGGCAGTACTTGGTCCCCAGGTTTGGCCTTTGATCCCATCCGCTGGATCTAAAATGTAAATATCACAATGTGTTGATCTAAAGAAACTTCAAAAGGAAAGAGCTAATGTAAGGTGTCAGTAAGCGGGTAATGAGTGGGGCACATCACTGTGAGTATTAATACCAAAAGGTATGCAGGGTGATCACACAAAAACTAAATAGTATAGACTATGAAGAGGAATTTAACACTCATGTGTGAGTATATATAATGATCCGAGATGTAGGGATACCAACTGAAGTAATCATCTAAGATTTGTTGGAGAGAACTGTCTTAAGTTAACACAAGTATATCCATGAAATGACAATGAAATAACATTCAAACTATATTATTTAATAATGAATCTAGTCAATAGCCAGACAAACTAGGAAAAAGTGTGCTTAAATATAAAATCATCTATGGATATTCCTTAAAATCTCTAATGGCTTAATTACATGAAATTGGTACACTTGTGACTGTGGCCCACCAGAAAGGTCGAATGAAGTGAGTTATATCTACAATATAGTATGGCCAGTAATCAGACAAAAAGAAATCAAATTGGTGAGATCTTACAAGCTATGGCCTGTGGCCAGAAGAATGTAATGACAATGGTGGCAAGGGAGGATGAAATCATGTTGGTGAGTTAACATACAAACTATGACCCTTAGCTTGGGAGGATGAAATGACAATGATGAGTTTACTTACAAGCTATGGCCCGTAGCCGGGGAGGATGAAATGACGTTGGTGAGTGGGGTGGGCTGTCTGGACTAGCTGGATGGCCGTGGTGATATGGCGATTCATGCTGAACGGTGATATTGTGTCGAAAGTCTGAAATTATACACAAACTTGTCAGGTTCTATCACTTTGCATTTTCTAGTTCCAATTCTTACAATGAATTTAAACAGGATCACTTGTTTGAAATTGGGGATTTCATAAAAATGTTTCCTATGAATATAAAGTGTTTAGATTTTGGGGAAAAATATACTTTTATTGGCATCACTTAACGCAAGATATTATGATTACCTGAGGGTTCACTGATGGAGCTGCCCCCATATTTGAGAAGTTTTAGACGGCTCTTTTTAAACTTTCCCTTTCGTGTCCGTGGTTTTGGGTTACCCATAATCTGCTGTAAGATCATGATATTGAGTTCACGCTCCACCAGCTCAATCTCCCTCTCTTTTAATTCCTGTTCTCGCTTATGAAGGAGTTCTTCAATTTTCTTCTGCTGTAATGCTGCTTTTGTCAGCTCCTCCTCCCTGCATCGGAGCTCCTGAAGCCAACACAGATTTTTAGACACCAATGCTCTCCCAAAATCATATCTTCGTTACTAAGATGCACTTTCCCCCCCAAAAAAAATTATACTGTACATAACTTTATCATACATTGCTAGAATAATAACCTTGTTTTATAAAACACAATATAAGAAATTTTCACACAACAGCACATTTTTGGGCATGAAGTTATGGTGTTTGTTCTTTGCATAATGTTTTGTGTTTTAAATTAAGTCAGACTGTGTGCTTAGCTGATAACCTTTTAATAGTTTTAACACTGTCAAATTCATGAAATGGTACTGGTCAACTTTGACTGAAATGACTTCAATTTCTCCAATTTTTTTAGATTTTAATGTATCCTTTTCCATATTCTGTATAAATATAAATTTCACCAGATGAAGAGTTTTGAATACCTTTTCTTTGAGTCTTAATTCATTGAACATTTCTTCTATTTCTAAGCGCCAGTCTTCTTGCATAGTATGAAAGGATTCCTGAGGGGTTGTCATGAAAGGGGAGGAGGCAATCTCACTGAGTCGGTGTAAAATCTCCGAAAATGTTGGTCGCTGGTGAGGCTCTTGGTGCCAGCAGTCTGTCAAAAGACCAAACAGTAAATTATACTTACAAGATATTCAGCATAAAAAATGGAGGGTAAAAATCCCTTTTCATGGATTCAATATCAACAATATAGGTCATAATAATTGAAAAGAAAATTAGCCCACTTAACCACAAAAATATAGAATACCAAGTGGTCAAACATTCTAGGCAATGACCATATACACTAAATCTTGTTAGTGAGAGTAAGCAGATTTCTCCTGACAAACTTGATGTACACTAATAGTTTAATTTAACAACACAAAAGGGCCATAACCCCCATTCCTCTATACAAATTAAACAAAGACTAATTAATTATTTCAATTTCATTTATTTCTAACTCAATATTCATACGAAGTAGATCACAGTGACTTGTTTTATATATCAACCCATACTGGTCAACTTAAAAGTAGCATAATTCCAGGCAAGATTTTCCAGACAAAGGAAAATGAACAAGTTTAGTGATGTACATAGGTTTTCAAAATGCGTTATTACAAGTTTAAAATATTAACAGGAATAACTTATAAAGTGTGTTGGTGATTCGTTATGACTAACATAGGATCTAGTACAGTGGATATTACAAGTGTCCATAAAAACTGATATTAAAACTGTCATTCTGTCATAATTTGCTGCTAGATTTATTATTATTAATTTCTGTGTTTAGGAACAGCCGACATTTATACAATCATCATACAGAAAACTGGTAAGATTTCCCTTCAAGTTAAATTTAAATTTCCTCACATATTGTTACAAAATGTCACAAGTTATGTTAAATAATTATTTCAGTCTTGAAGCTGAAATTAGTAGTATAAAAGTTTACACATCGTTGATTGAAATTTTTCTTTTTGGAGATATCTCCAACCCTAATCATATTACACCACCTTAACAATGATTAGTATTTCCATAAAGAGTTTTAATTGATTTAGGTATATTTTTGGCCTGCAATGTTGATTTTAAGTCTTCTAGTTCCTTCTCTTCAGTAAATTACAAGAAGGGAATTGATCTTGTACATTAATGTATGCAAATCACCAGTACTAATCTCAGTTTATTAAACAAGCCTTAATAAATTTTGATTTTAGCCAGCTTTTGACAAGCTAAAATGAAATTTGTCACAAGTTTTATAAAGCATATATGTAACATCACATGGAAGTGAAGTCAATATCCTTTGTATCATGTATTTGAATATCTAGGCAAATATTGTTGAAAATGAGCCTTTCAAGATAAAACTGCAATATTGTTATCTTAACCTGACAACACAAAACATTATACTACGTAGGCATATACAATATAAAAAATATCACATGGGTAAATTCACTTAATAGCAAGGAAAATCATGTAATAAATAGCCAAATTATGGATAAATTCAAAAGAGATTTAGGAAGTATCATCAATAACTCTGATCTGTTTTAAATTTACTTCATATCATAACATTGACTAAGTACATGTAATATTATCCAGACGGAATAAATTATCTTTTACTTACTACATCAAGTCAATCAGGAATATATATGTATACAAAAATTCTGAAAGAAAAAGACAGTATCTCCTTGGAACTCGCACAAGAAATACTGAGTGTCTGTACATATTTCTATCATTCTTAATCTCAGATGTAAGTGGTTGTAGCTTGCCATCAGTGATTCCTGGAAACCAACGTCAGACAGTCTTTGAGGATAGAAGACAATCATATCACATCCAACATTCTTTATCTAGCTTACTTACCTGACATAAGTTTGGCAAAGAGACCTGGACAAGTACTGGGGATGGGGAGGGTGAGTTTATTCACCGCCACACCATAGGCCACCCCCAGGGCATCAATGCCCTTGTACGGCGTCTCGCCTGTCAGCAACTCCCATAGGACCACACCATAGCTGGAAAACAAAGACAAAAGGTAATTTGTAAATAATGTGTCCACGAGTGTTCTTTCCACAGTCACGACAGAACAATAGACATGCCAGCAAAGCAGAGGTAATCAATACTGGTGTCTGTTTTTGACAATTGATGAAGGTGCCAATATCTCAATCATATTTACAAGTTCTACACAAAGCCAAGCCCACTGAAAATTGAAATCACTAGTGTCAATTGTTTCTATGATCATGCTGTATGACTAAGATGTTGAAAACTTTTTCCTGATAACCACAATCATGTCTATAGCAAGTAAATGCATCATTCCTTCAACAGGCTCATTTCCACTACAACAATGTAGACTTAGAAACAAATTTAAATACAACAAAGACTTATCAGATTCTGCCTTGCAGAAAACATCTGAGTGTGTCAGATTTTCAAGATGTGTACATACTGTAAATGACTCGCAGCAAGTAACACAAACTACAAAATGTCAGCCTATGGAATGAGTAGAAATGTGAAGATGTGTACATAATTGGTAATGGGTCTCAGAGGATGTATATCCACAGCATTAATACATTTGTATCTACTAGCGCCTAATCTTTGCTAATGGTGGCTCCTTTCTGCTACAAGCAACAAGAATTCACTGTACAAATACTGCTGGTTTTCTTCTAGAATAACTACAAATGTTTCCCAAATAAATCACATTATATGTATGCTCCATTTGAATTTCCTGGTCGATACATATCATAAATATATAAACATCATACTACTTTGTACAAATGCATTATATATGTACAACAAAAACAATAAGAGGTCCACTGGATCTGTATCTCTCACCTGTTATTAGTATTCAATAATTTTCAGAAATATAATTTTTAACATTCCATACCATTAACATTCCAAGTCTTTCTTAATGAAAACTAATTTGACTCTTGCTACCTTGAATATGGGTCAGGGTTATTCAATTTTACAAACTTTGTACACTGGTTCCCAGGAACCTTCCAGCCATTTATCATGATTCCAGGCTTTTTGGTTACTTAGAAGAAAGTGTTTAAAGGGAAAAGTTGATGCTAGACATGGAGGACTGATGCCACACCCTGGCATAAGCTCACTAGCCCCTTGCTGGTCTAGATGAGTTAAAAGTGATGTATCTGAAAATCTGTCCATGAGTGCTGGGACATTTTCTTTCAAAATGAATTAAAGATTTTTAATCATTTGGGTATGAAGCCAGGAAAATGCAAGATAAGGTGAACTCTAATCAAAATAAAAATATAATTTTGTATCATTGGTTTTCAGGGTGTGGCATCTATCATCCATGTCAAGCATCAATTCAGCTAGGAACCAGCCAAAAAGTAATTACAAGACAAATGATATGGCTACCACTGCCCACCAATGCCTTAATCCAATCTGCATGAGGACTGTGTGGGAGTGTTTTGTAATACCAGAAGCCTTGCCTGCAGATTTTAATAACATTATATATCAGCATTCCATCACACAACTCACACTGGTAACATTGATTGTAACCCTGTTGTTCTATCCACAAAAACAGTGTCAATGAATTATGAATGAAATCCCACCATGTAAGTTGGCACTTCTGCAGAAAAGTACAGCAATATTGGTAAAATATATTCTGACTGAAATTTAAGCAGGATTGGCTTCCTTCTACAGCTAGCCTCCTTAAAAGTTCAAATGTTGTAAAGCCTCTAGTGTTTTATTACCTAATTTAACCTGAGATCCCACAGAAGAGTTACATGTAATTATTACTGCTTTTGCTTGCAGCTGCGATGCTAAAAATAGCATTTTTGAAAAGTTTATGATCAATGTATAAGTGAGAAGGACACTTTGTCTGATATATTTTACAATATATATTATATAAACTCCAATATGACTGTAACATATATATCAAAATAAAACTAGCAAGACAGATTTTAGAGAAATAACTCATAGTTCCTTTATAACAAAACCATAACCATGTACTTTCCTGGTCATGATAACACTACATGTTTGAAAATTCTTTTCAAAAAATCTTCCTTGGAAAATTGTCAAAACATTTTTGAGTATGCACAGAATTTTTGTGTTTTTCTTTAATAGTATGAATATATAGCAAAGAAACTCTTTGAGATTAAGACTTTGTTGATGAACCCCCACTTTTTTTTTTTTTTTGATATCCGAGTTTTCGGAAAAACATTGAAAAAATTGCAAATTGACTCCAAAAAATACTATTGACAGATTTAATGCATAAATTTGATCCCTTGAAATAAGACACCACAGATATTTATTCAGACTGAATTACCACCGTAATGGAGATGATGTGAATCAGTTTCAATTTCTTGATCGATAATCAGAAACACAAAATCTCAGCATGGTGTTATTTTTCTGGTGAGGAATTAACTGTGTACTCAACTAAGCTCTAGTTTAAGCCTAACACAAGCACTTCTGGATATTTTGGATTAATTGGCTTTTCAAAATTGTCATCAGTCATCAGTTCTATTATTCGTTTTTGACTAATTTTCTATTATTTTCGATCTCTGACGCACCACTAGGTTACACCACTATAAGACAACATTGCCATACCTCCAGACATCACTACTCTTGGAGAATGTGGAGGTTTTGATCACTTCAGGAGCCATCCAAGCATAGGTCCCAGCAGCAGACATCCTTGTGGTTCTCGACACTTCTCTTGCTAATCCAAAATCTGTAATCTTTAAAGTTTTCTTCTCCAAGGAATCACTTAGAATCTTTTCTTTTAAGAGTACTGTAACAAAAAATATGATATGTTCGTAAAATCTTCTGTAATCATAATTCTTGAGATAGTATGATTAGGAGTTTGAATTAGTGAAATATAGGTGACTATATTTATTTTGCATTAAAAAAATCCATGATTAGACAAGATTTTAGTACATACGTGTATGTAGGTCTGAGTCTGTGATCGATAAAAAAAAACTCTTAAAGGAGATGTTAACAAACATGGAATTCTACATGCATGTAATTCAGTTGTTCTCTTCCTCATATAATCTATCGTCACAAAGAAGTAAGGGAGATAACCCTCCTAATTCTATTCCAGTGTTACATATACTCTGAAACATCAATTTACTTTCCCCACCTTCTTCGATTTCCCTGCCCTTTAATTCAACATCCATGATGAAAGGCCCGCATTTGCACATTCTCTATTTAGAACCAAGTTTCTGGTGCTGATTTTATTGATTTTTTTAAAGACCATTCCGGATCCTTTTTTAAAGCCATCCACAAATTGAAACCGGAATTATTAGCAAGAACGGAAATTGTGCAGCATTAATATTTTATAAAGCTGCCTGCCTTCTAAAACAACAACTCATTATATAATTGCTTCCTATATATAGCAGTAATTGAATAGGTATATATACACATATTTTTTCATTACACTGGCCAATTTAGATTTTGCTGACTATGTATTGCCCTCTTGTAATGGCTTGACATCATATACCTGAAGATTAATATGGTATGCCATAATAGTTTAACCATCATGTATAATGATGAAATGTACAGTAAAAAACATTATTTTGAGCTTGAAATAACAACATTTTAATCCCTATCTTTTTTTTATGTAGAAATTTTGATAAGCTTTTCTAATGGAAAATTTCATGGAAAAAATGAAATGTAAATAAAGTATGAATTACAACCTGAATGTATTAATGCTGAGTCACTGCAGCTCTACGCTACTTAAAAAGCATGTTACCTATACACTTAGTACGACCACAGGTACATATATATTTCTTTTATAAACAAATTCACTTTAGGAACAATTTGTCATGGTCATGATGATGGTAAAAGGTCAATTAATGTACTGAAAAAGGGCATGAAGTGTATTGTCTTTCCTAATACCTATAATATCTCCAAACATCAATGCCGACACGAGACAATGATAAACCACAATTTCAGCTGTGATTATAACTAAAGGGTGGTTCAAAACAGGAGATTGGACACAATTAGAATAAAATTATCAAAATTACAAATCTGATGGGAAAGTTTGAAGTTAAAAAAGATAAAATTTGTTTAAATCTTAATTTAAAGTTAAAAAAGATAAAATTTGTAAATCTTGGAATGTTTGTATTATTTGTTGTAAATGAAGATTTAAAATTAAAAGGAAAGCTGATATCCATATTTTTGAGTTGTATGTTTGGGAGGTCATGTATCCCATCCATAAATAAGATATACTCATCAAATAACAATGGTACGTAGGGATAGAGCAGACAATATCAGCTACGTTAACACTATCATCTTTCCCCAAGTCCTTACATAATTACTGAGCTAGTCATGACCTAGTTCCCATACATGAAGTCAAATGATGTGTTTCTCAGCCATGCAGACTTATCTTTTTCAAATACTGATTCTGATCAGAGAGTTTAGCCTTGCAAGTTGAGTTGTACTGCTGAACAAACATGAGAATGAAACCGCAGCTGGATCACTATGACTGAAGATCATGAGGTGTATTTAATTCAAATATTTAGTTTCATGATCAGTGTTAAGGTTTGCAAGTAGACAGTCTGACTTCAGACTGAAAAAGCAAATTGCATGCACGTAAGTGATGGAAACAATCAAATGTGTATCACATAGCTACAGGTATTTAGTGAACATTAAGTACAACCGGATCTTTAACTCAAAACTTGACTTGGTCATTTTGAAATTCATCTGTTGTTATTAAATCTATTAAAATAAAAAAAGATTTAATAGTTGGTACAGGATCCGAAATCATGAAACAAAACTAAATATTATAAGATTGTATGTATAAACGTAGTAGCCAACTTATGCTGTACATGTATATGTGTCACAGAACTAGTAAATGAGAATATGTTATGTCTTTAATGTTTAAAATAGATCAGCGTTTCTTTTAATCTGAAGTCTATATATATCCATACAACTAGCTGTCAGTATCTGTTTATTATACAAGTAATAGTATTTGGTATATGATGTAACATTTTCTTAGAAATTTGAAAGACATTCATGAAATTCCTTAATTTTGTAAACATAACATCAATTTCAGATGGGCCTGGAGGAAACAGCATTTTTTCAAACAATAAAACAATGGGGCAAATTCTTTTTCTAGACACTGGTGATCTAAGTACATAATACCACAGTATTATATTATTGGTAACTTATCCATTCATTACTATATTAATAATGATACTGAACAACAGTGAACATATATACACAAACACATGCCAGCCAAATCCAGCAAAATTCAACAAAAATTTAAAAAGAGACAAAAACTGTTTGATGGTATTGATCATGATAAAATCAAATAACATGTAGATCTACACTTGTAATTATCACATAACTATATGACAGGACAGGTGTATAACACTATTTTCATGTCATAGATAAGACACGTTAAGATGACATCACATGCTTTTCTCGGTAAAACTTACACCTACTGTCCATGTCAAAATAAGAAGTGTTAATCTACATCTAAGTCTGGAGTCCAATACTCACAAAATTTTCATGGGACTTAAAGGAATTCTGGAAATACTTAAATATAACATTTTGGGACCCATTGTATTTAGCAATTAATTAGGACTTGAAAAAATAAATTGTAGATTGATCACTGAATAATTCAATCTTACATGGAATAGATTCCAAATTTTTCTTTGATTTTTCTTAGAAGTACAGGTTATATTTGATTAATAGAATCTCACATTAGTGGTGGTAAACTTATATTCAATGTCACTCGCCTAACTTATTTAACTTGTTCAAATAAATTATATATCACTAAAAACACCTAACTTATTTAACTTGTTCAAATAAATTATATATCACTAAAAACACCTATGTCAGATCCTCTCTATATACACAAAGCTAACATAGAAAAAGTCAAATGTTAAAGGAGTTTTTTTTTTAAACAAGCCTAAAAATGGGTGGAGTACATAAGCAAGTGAAACGCTAACTTTTTCCTGAATCACACTGAAACTGATACTGTTATAGTTTTGGTCATATATTTAAACAAGTACTTGTCTGATCAGGAAAACTACCCATGAATACATTTCATATCTGGACATCACATCACTAGCTTAAGGTTGTCTGGAAAAAAAAAAATGAAAAGGGATTTTATAGTTCTTTCATGTTATGAAAGAAATTCTCGCACACTTAAAGACCTTCAGAATATATACCTAGTGGATATTATGTGACTTTGTGTACACTGGTACTACATCTACACTTCCACAATATATTGTACATGTATGCATCTCGTGCACATCTACACTTCCACAATATATTGTACATGTATGCATCTCGTGCACATCTACACTTCCACAATATATTGTACATGTATGCATCTTGTGCACATCTACACTTCCACAATATATTGTACATGTATGCATCTTGTGCACATCTACACTTCCACAATATATTGTACATGTATGCATCTTGTGCACATCTACACGTCCACTGTACATCATACATGTATGCATCTCAGGGCAAGGACATGTTTAGTAAATGGAAGAAAACATCAACTAATAAATGTTTCAGGATCAGTCTGTATCATCAATATTAATATTATATTGAATATTCCGAGAGGGCAAAAATGGACCTCCTCACAGTTAACTCACATATATTCTTCCCAATATGAGGCAAAGAAGCCTTATCCAAAACCAGTGGAAAAAAAACACCCTTGTAATGAACTTACTGAGCTTTAATTTCAAATCAAATTTTATGAAACAAATAGTAAGGTTTAATTTTTGGCAAGCAAAAAATAAAATCTTGCAAAATGAAAACTGGAGAAACTTTTTATCACATGACTTACATGACATGTAGATGGGTTTTTAATTAAAAGTGTGGAGGGGACACAGTGATTTTGGGACTCAGATATTTGGGTCCTTCATATTTCAATTCATCGTGTGACGTTATTGTGACATTATTATGACGTCACAATAAAGTGATTCAATGAAAAATGCTTCAGAGTATATATAGTGACATATACAAACAATATTTAACAAGGACAAATTTCACTAGATAACACAGAATATGTGATTATATAAAAGTGGTACTTTTAGGTGGTACATAAATGAAATCCTTTAAATATCATTATATCAGTGTAAGAAACATGATACCTACATTCTTGAGTCAGTACAACTAGTAGTACATCAACTAATTGTGTAAACCTATGGTAATTTCCTTACTTCACCACTAAACAATCAGTGGTGTTTGCTCTTTCTCAAGATAACCTTCTAAATATACCATGTGCATCAAACTGTTGCCACACTACATGTAGCTGTGTGTATGGTACTAGTTGGGAACTCCTAGAGCTCATATATATATACAAGTATATGCAGGGCACCATAATAATCACAGCTCATAACAAGATCAATGATAACAATATTGTAGCCAGCAGTGAATCTTCAATAGGTAATATTTTTTGTGAAAAGTACATAAACGAGAAACCTGAATCTGCTGCTTATAGATCACATACATGATAAATCATGATGATTAAGCTTGAGAAAACTTAACCTAAATCCAGCACATTTGACAAGAAATTAAGAACTCTTGACTTGGCTGGCTTCACTTTTTTTCAGATATAATGACCAAGGGGAGTCCCTTTGCCTGGCTATGATGACCAGGAGAGATCTATCAGATCTGCCACATAATGATCTGGTGAAAACACTCTGTCTGAATATAATGATCAGAAAGGATCATCCAGTCTGGCTATAATGTCCAGAAGAAACAGCTCCATCTGGCTATAATGTCCAGGAGAGACAGCTCCATCTGGCTATAATGTCCAGGAGAGAAAGCTCCATCTGGCTATAATGTCCAAGAGAGACAGCTCCATCTGGCTATAATGTCCAGGAGAGACCATCCAGTCTGGTTATAATGCCCAAGAGAGACAGCTCCATCTGGCTATAATGCCCAGGAGAGACAGCTCCATCTGGCTATAATGTCCAGGAGAGACAGCTCCATCTGGCTATAATGTCCAGGAGAGACAGCTCCATCTGGCTATAATGTCCAGGAGAGACAGCTCCATCTGGCTATAATGCCCAGGAGAGACAGCTCCATCTGGCTATAATGACCAGGAGAGACAGCTCCATCTGGCTATAATGTCCAGGAGAGACAGCTCCATCTGGCTATACAGGGCTCTCGATCTGCCAGATTTGGGGCCGAATCCCAATGCAAAATAATATCTTTTCTTCCCAATTTAGACCCCAAGTTTTCCCAATTCTAAGGAAAACACCGTTATTTTTCCCAATTCAAAGGGCCCCGGGCCCCACTCCCAAAATGGGGTGTGAGAGACCTGCTATAATGTCCATCTGGCTATAATGTCTAGGAAAGACAGTTCCATCTGGCTATAATGTCCAGGAGACACAGCTCCATCTGGCTATAATGTCCAGGAGAGAACAATCCCTCTGGCTATAATGACTAGGACAGATCACTCCGTCTGGCTATAATGACTAGGGCAGATCACTCTGTCTGGCTATAATGACTAGGACAGATCACTCTGTCTGGCTATAATGACTAGGGCAGATCACTCTGTCTGGCTATAATGACTAGGGCAGATCACTCTGTCTGGCTATAATGACTAGGGCAGATCACTCTTTCTGGCTATAATGACAAGGACAGATCACTCTGTCTGGCTATAATGACTAGGAGAGAACATTCTGTCTGGCTATAATGACTAGGACAGATCACTCTGTCTGGTTATAATGACTAGGAGAGAACATTCTGTCTGGCTATAATGACTAGGACAGATCACTCTGTCTGGTTATAATGACTAGGACAGATCACTCTGTCTGGCTTTAATGACTAGGAGAGATCACTCTGTCTGGCTATAATGACCAAGAGCGGACACTCTGCTTGGCTATAAGGACAGGGAAGAACCTTTCAACTGGTTATAATTACGGCTGTAACGAGTACTCAAAAACGGGTCAGGTTTGAGAAATAACCTTGTCCGAAAATGTGTACCCAGGTACCCGTCAGAATAGGAAACATTCTGTCTTCCATCTGTGTTTACATTTCAGATTATTAAAGTAATACAATAACTCACACACTTGTTCTGTTTTCATTCACCAAGGATGACATTTTATCTGTTAGTTGCATTTCCACATCCAATATTGATGTACTTTAGTTTTCTCATGACTGAATTTTGTTTTGGGAACCGTCAAACACATGTGTATACATGGCAGACTTGTGTACTGTACTTTACCATACAACCATGGATAACATGCGAAGATTCCTGGATTTCTTGTTTGAATTAAACAACCTTCTTATTCTTCTATTTTAGTGTGTTTATATTCTGGGTTGTAACTTTTCCTGGTTTCGTTCCTATTATGTTGTCATTGAGCACGAAAACTCTGTCAAATACAGTTATGTCTCTATCTACCTTTACTTCCTATTGTACAAGTAACACCATCCTGAAATATTTACAGTAAGCTTGACGGGCATATTTTGCCAACTTTTGACTCGATGCAACTTGTCTCAAGATAAATCAAATTACAAAAAAGGTGATAGGTACCAAGAAAGGAATACAAAAATATCATCAGAGAAGCATTGTGTTCATACTATGTATATGGTAGATTTTTATTTGTTTCCCTATGTTACAAGCCCTTTTCAACAGGGTAACACTACATTTCATTGTTAAATGGTTGTAAAAAGGTATGGGGTCACCTGGCCAACTGTGTGGGTTTTCCCCCAGGTACTCCAGTTTCATTCCACACAAAGACCCTTCAGTTGACAAAAAACTTGCTTAACAATTGTTGTTGAATAAATAAAGTTTACTATTTTAAAGTCGGATACCCAAGTATAGTCCAGTATTAATATTTGGGTACCTGGGCCCAAAATTTAGTACCAGTGACCTTGTTATAATGACCAGGGGAGAACATTTTGCTTTCAAAAGACAGGGAAGAACCTTTCCATCTGGTTATAATGACCAGGGGAACACTTTGCCTTCTAGTGACAGGGAGCAATATAACATCTGGTTATAATGACCTGGGGAGAACACTTTGCCTGGTTATAGTGAGAGGGAAGAACCTTCCATCTGGTTAAAATGACCAGGGGAGAAAACTTTGCCTTCTATAATGATAGGGAAGAACCTTTCCATCTGGTTATAATGACCAGGGGAGAACACTTTGCCTGACTATAGTGACAGGGAAGAACCTTTCATCTGGTTATAATGACCTGGGGAGAACACTTTGCCTGACTATAGTGACAGGGAAGAACCTTTCATCTGGTTAAAATGACCAGGGGAGAACACTTTGCCTGGCTATAGTGAGAGGGAAGAACCTTCCATCTGATTATAATGACCAGGGGAACACTTTGCCTTCTATAGTGACAGGGAAGAAACTTTGCATCTGGTTATAATGACCAGGGGAACACTTTGCCTTCTAGTGACAGGGAGCAATATAACATCTGGTTATAATGACCTGGGGAGAACACTTTGACTGACTATAGTGACAGGGAAGAACCTTTCATCTGGTTATAATGACCTGGGGAGAACACTTTGCCTGACTATAGTGAGAGGGAAGAACCTTCCATCTGGTTAAAATGACCAGGGGAGAACACTTTGCCTGACTATAGTGAGAGGGAAGAACCTTCCATCTGGTTATAATGACAAGGGGAGAACACTTTGCCTGACTATAGTGACAGGGAGCAATATAACATCTGGTTATAATGACCAGGGACAACACTTTGCCTGACTATAGTGACAGGGAAGAACCTTTCATCTGGTTATAATGACCAGGGAGAACACTTTGCCTGACTATAGTGACAGGGAAGAACCTTCCATCTGGTTATAATGACCAGGGGAACATTTTGCCTGACTATAGTGACAGGGAAGAACCTTCCATCTGGTTATAATGACCAGGGGAACACTTTGCCTTCTATAGTGAGAGGGAAGAACCTTCCATCTGGTTATAATGACCAGGGGAGAACACTTTGCCTGACTATAGTGAGAGGGAAGAACCTTCCATCTGGTTATAATGACAAGGGGAGAACACTTTGCCTGACTATAGTGACAGGGAGCAATATAACATCTGGTTATAATGACCAGGGACAACACTTTGCCTGACTATAGTGACAGGGAAGAACCTTTCATCTGGTTAAAATGACCAGGGAGAACACTTTGCCTGACTATAGTGACAGGGAAGAACCTTCCATCTGGTTATAATGACCAGGGGAACATTTTGCCTGACTATAGTGACAGGGAAGAACCTTCCATCTGGTTATAATGACCAGGGGAACACTTTGCCTTCTATAGTGAGAGGGAAGAACCTTCCATCTGGTTATAATGACCAGGGGAGAAAACTTTGCCTGACTATAGTGACAGGGAAGAAACTTTGCATCTGGTTATAATGACCAGGGGAGAACATTTTGCCTGACTATAGTGACAGGGAAGAAACTTTGCATCTGGTTATAATGACCAGGGGAGAACACTTTGCCTGACTATAGTGACAGGGAAGAACCTTTCATTTGGTTATAATGACCAAGGGACAACACTCTGCCTGGCCATAAAGACAGAGACAGAATACTGTGCCTGCCTATAATGACCATTAGAGAGCAGTCTTCCTAGCTATAATGACCAGTGAAAATACTGTGCCTGGCTATAATGACCAGTGTAGGTCAATCTGACTGGGAATAATGACAGGTGAATAATACTGTCTGGAAATAAAATCCTGGGGAACTCTGACTATAGTTAAGTTATAACCAGCAAAGGATCATCTAAAATCCTCTACACCAATCTCAAATATACAATAGTAATAATATATAACATAAATCAATTGCGACATCAGTTTCGATTCATATACAATTTTGGCCATTTAATTATATAAAAGTTCTGGATCTTCCAAATGTTCATCTACTGGTAATCTGTTTCCATAATGACCATGCCATGCTCTGAACTATAATAACTGTCAACAACCTGAGCTTGGCTATAATGACCTATGGTCCAACCAGAGCAAGCATATTGCAAGAGCAACGACATGTGCCAGTGAGATGATACCTAGACACTGAAGAAGTTGCAGAGATGGAAAACCTGTCAACAATCCTTCAGCAAGAACACAACCCAGCCATCACTGATAGTCATGGCATGGCCATCCACCATTCAGAAACAACAGCAAACAAACCTGGCAATATTTGAACTGGTACATGCAATTCATATAAAACTAACAACACTGAAGATGCCAAATGGTATTACACAACTGATAACTGTGGATAGGAAAGTATATATATCACAAATATTTGTAATTTTCAATGAACAATAAATAAAAAATTCACTTAGAAAGTCCAACACATGCAAATGATGGTTCATTTTGTATTTCAACATAGTGTAACATTTTTATCCACCTGTTCACACCTTTAATTTATATTTAGATACAATGCCATTACAGTTCATACTTACTATTGCTAGATTTGAGGTCACGATGTATTAAAGGAATGGGAGATTCTTCATGAAGATAATGCATCCCTTTTGCTATTTGTACAGCCCAATCAACAAGAATATCAGGAGGTATCCTTCGTCCATTCAGCACCCTGTTGAGTGATCCTCCCTCTGCAAATTCCATTACTAAACACAAATTTGGTTCTTTCAGACATACTCCTTTTAGAGCTGCTATGTTGGCATGATCCAGAAACCAAAACACAGTAGCTTCCTGACGGACACTTTCAACTGTTGCACTTATAGGTTCATCTGGATCTTGACGTGCTGCTTTTACTGCCACAGTCTCACCTTTCCAGACACCCCTGTAAACTTTTCCAAACCCCCCAACTCCAATAACTTCCTCCAATTGTAGTTCATTGAAATCGATCGTAATATCGGGTGGGATAGTGTGTTCAATACGATAATTGTTGGTGACAAAATTACTCGGAAATATTCCGACATGGTTGTCAACCCTGCCAGTCCACCATCCCTCATCTCCTGAAATGTGTTTGTCGGTTGACAACACCTCAACCGTGATTCCTCTTCGGAGTGTCAGCTCATCTTCGCGTTTTGCTTCGTAGTCGAATACGGCAGTCCAGAGACCAGAACCGTTTTCGATCGATCTTCTGTTTAACTTTTTATCATGAGGTGATGCCATTGAACCTGGCACCGAGGATAACGCACTAGGCATTAGACAATGCCGTGCACTTGTCTCCTCTCGACTCCTCTACGATAAACACCAATGTTGTTGGTGTCTCGGGGTAGGTTCCAACATGCAAATATTCGATGTTTTGGTCGAACAGCACTACCCTTAAATTAGCCATAAGAATATAGTATATGAAATACGGAGCAATTAAACTATAACATAACGACATATAACCTGGCATAGTTTGTTTGTCATGGTGAGAAAGGGATCTTTTTGGGGAGATTTTCCCATCTTTTCACACCTTTGTCTACCTCTCAAGTTTGACGAGCCGCCATGTTCATGTACTTTGACCTTGAGGCCATTAGCAGGGTGCGGTATTTGCAATTTGATTGGTTAAAATAAAGTAAGTTTGGAATAGATCTCATTTTGCGAAGAATGGTCGATATAAAATAAATCGTATAAAATTATAACTACAAATACTATCCGTTATTAAATATCTTTTATGCGTTATTTACTGAATCACGTTTCAACGAGAGGTTAAAAAATCCAAGATGTCTGCGCCCGTCAAAGTGCTTTGGTCTTTTTCAAAGCGATTAGTTTTGGGGAAATGTCATTTTTCAACGGTATAATTTGTTTCGCGGTTTATGTTGTATTTCGAATAGTCATTTCACATACCTTTTTTGTGAAACATTATTGATTAAGGGATTTTTATGAGGAAATGTATATCAAATGGTGATATGTAACAATGCCATGATACAGTCTAGTAAATACAACTATCATGATGATCGCCAAATCGAAGGGTCTAACCAAGTACTGAAGAAATACGGTTACGGTGCAAATAAAGCGGAATGAAAATGTTTTAGTGTCATTCGAAATCTTAAATATTGCGATCCCTTAAAAGTAATGAAGACGTCCTTTATATCGGTAGACCTTTTTGTCTCTGAAAAAATGTGCCACTAAACGACAGGGATTTGTTACAAATGTCTACGTATATACCGATATGGGTAACAGCACAGATAAGCAAAGCGAGCTATATGTGTGTAGACATTGGTGACAAGGCCCTGTACTTACACCAAGCGAAAATGTCACAGGTTTGGCCATTGTTGTTTTGGCAATGTTGGATGGTTTCGTGACTTTATTTATTAAAATACCTCAACAAGGATTTGAACCGATGTTTATCAGTCTGATGCTCAGCCGATTTTGCTAAAGATAAGTTCTTTAGCCGAGCATCACTTTCAGTGCATACTCCTCCTCCAGGAATCACTTGTCCTCAAGTTTCCAGGGGTTAGCAATGCATGTGAAAGAAATGTCTAAATATTTAAAAGTATTTTTTTCTGTTTATTTAGTTAAATACCTCCTTTTACAGTTCCTGTTGTCATTTAAGTTTCTTGCTCTTCACAAAAACGTATGTAATGTTATTTAAAAAATACTTTTTATTTGATCAACATGTTTATAAGATAAACAATAAACACTTATTTATATAAAAAATGTTTACTGGGAAAAGGTGTTTGACTGATGCTTATTCCCAGTCTTGATTGGAGGATTGACGTCATGTGACAAGTCCTTCAGTCTAATTACAGACCGCGTTCTGTAAATAGAAAAATGTTACAGACCTTGAGGTCTTACTAAAATCAGGCTTAGGTCTTTTCCTTTCCATCATTTTGAGAGACATGTTTTCTTCAAACCCTTCAGAAAGTAGTTTCTGTTAAGGAATTTTGATCATAACAGCTACTTTGAATCTTAAGCTTAAATTTCTTGTAACTAAGCATTTTCTAAGAGATTAAAATGAAATTAACTTTTATTTTTTCAGAGATTTGTGTCAACGTCCTCAGTAAACTGTCGGTCTTCTAGATATCTGCCAGAATATACTGACTATGAAGTTTCCAAAGAAGACTTTAAATATGTTAAGAAGCTTCTGCCCTCGGATACTGTGCCTGAGCCACCTGAAGTCAGTGGACCTACTGCATCAGGCTGGGTGCCACAGAAAGGTGTGTTGGTTGTTTTTAGTTTTCACACAAATTGTCAAATGTCAGTGACAAAATACTGACATGTAAACAAAACTATGCTTTTAACTAAAAATCCATTAAATAGCGGCTTAATATTATTAACTACAGAGAAAAATTTAATTTCTTGATTAATGCAAAAGTACCAGGAGAAAAGTGAGAATATTTAATGATGGTGTGAGCAGGCAGTTGGATTTGTCCAATGTAAATACAGGTATGGTTGAAATGTTCCAAGGTTCAATACTGAGATAACTGTAATGGTAAAAAGGTAAAGACACTAGGTGTAAAGGTATTTAAATGGATTTCTGTAAACAGTAGAGTATTTTGTGACAATCATATAATCAAACTTCAGTTTTGTGACATTTGAAAGGAAGTAATATCCTCAAACTGAATTATGTGTTGTTTCTGGGTTTTTTTTTTTTTTTTTTTTCACACCAATTTTTGTAGCGATACTCTTAACATTATAGTTTTGTAGGAAATCTTCTACCTGTGACTTCACCGAGTTTGTTATAGAATGCATGTAGTCATCTCCCATGTATAATCAAGTCTGTTATTGTCATTTCAATTTTCAGAGATCGACAATAACGCCTACTGGATAAGACGGACAAAGAACCACATGCTTCCAGTTTATTTACAAGAAAAGAACGGAGGTTTGGACCGTGTAACCAAGATCGGGAAAATAGAAGGGGACATCTGGGTAAGAACATAGTATATTAATTATGTAGTAAGTTTATACTACTGCAGTTTCATATAGGGTCCAGTGTTCCCAGTCAGGAACTTTTACAAACCCTTCATCTCTGGGTACTTAATATCATTACAGGGAACCTTGAACTGTCAAAGTAATAATAAAAGTAATAATCATTTATCAAAGCATATCCTTGTTTGCAAATGACAGACAAGAGGCTCATAGGGCCTGTATCACCTTTGGTTCAAATTTATTTATCCAATCTAAAGAAACAGGAATCTACTTTATATTTACCTATTGGGTCCCACCCCTCTACCCCCAGAGGAATCTGTGAAACCATTCATTCCCAAATTTACTTCACCAAAGGATGCTTCAGACCAAATTTACACAGAATTCTGTCATTCCTACATTAGAATAATGTTTTAAAAGACTTTGCTTTATTTCCCCTTTTGCGACCTGTCCATAGGGCTGATACTTATCATTTCTACCTTAGACCTTATTTTGCATTTGAATCATTTACTGACCATGTCTTTTTTCAGCAATGACATTTAACACATTTTGTCTTTGTACATCATTCAAGCTCAGTAGTATTTGACCTTGTATCATTCTCATATAACATTTTGATGTTTTTGAACTTGTAGGCATTCGATAAAGACCTCCGCAATGCAGTTGGGAAAAAAGTCAACAAGAGAATTCTGACTCAGATCAATGAAGTTTCTCGCAGCATTAAACTAAGGGGAAATTATGTGAAAGAAGTAGGAGAGTTCCTAGTGAGTCAAGGACTATAACGTTAGAGAAATGTAGGAATACTGTGTGTGGAAACTTGTAAATACTGTGTGATAGAACATAGGAATAATGTGTTGGAAAATATGAATACAGTATGTGATCTGTCTGAATCAGAAATGTATTAGCTGAGTGAAAGCGATGGATGTACAGCATTGGAATGGATGTTGAAGTTGTCTGAATGTATCATAACCGAGAGTACATGTAAAGCTGACTGTGTGGATGGTAAGGAATGTGCTATATCAAAGCAAAGAAGTATGGGTAAACTATAATTGTACAGTGTTTGATGTTTGCTTTTCTATGAATTGCAAGGTTTATTGTGCTTTAATAATAATTAAAAAAAAAAATCAATCATAGAAATTATGTTATGTTTGGTAAACACATGAACTGCAATATTGAAAGATTTTGAACATAAGTGATTTTTGAATGAAAAAATTAAAAAATGTCTGAAAGGCACTGAATGCTCCAATTTCTATTCAGACTGGTATCATTGTTCAGCAAATTTTATCTGAATATTTGTAGTGACCTTGAAACGTGAACTCATTCAACAAATTCCGTCTTCTCGTGATTATTGTTTGATGAAAATTATATCAGAAAGGAAATCGTAAGACAGATAATTAAATTGGTTGATGACTGTTAATGAATAGTAACAGTAACTTTGAACCCTGAAATACGTTTTTTCAGATGACTTGAATTAATTTTCATTATGTAGCATAACATTTAGCGAAAGGTTAAGTTAGTAGCGTGACTTACTGAATTGGTAGATGATTTTATGTAAATAGTAAGTTATCTTGAAATTGGAATCTTTAAACATAAACTGATCAGAAGTGTAATTCATGACATTGGCTTAGTTTGATCAAAATCTTCGAGTTTTTAAAGAGATTTCAATGACCTTGCAACAGTGAAACACAAAGTGATGTGGTTGAAGTTGACCTTTACATAAAGTTTGATTTAAATGTCTAATGTGAAATGAAGTTGCAAATGTAATGATATGGATTCAGGAGAGTACAGGATAGGATGGGATATGTAATACAATACATATTGGTATCACAGTATATACCCGCCATAAAATGGTGGGGACAAAGTAAAACAGGGGAGGGGTCAGGTGATGATCTTAGAATTAGATATAAAGGAGATTTTATGAAACTTCTAATTTTTTTTTCTTTTTGTGAGCCTTGACTTTTTATTATTATTACAGTCTTAATGGCCTGTCAAGACATAAAAGGTCATTAGTGCCATCAACCAGCTTTTTATCACATAATTAAGAAAATACACATTTTGACATTGACGTAATTTAAACTAGACATGTAGAGGACAAAATAAAATGCAGACAGCCATTTTGTTGTACCATTTTCCATTCATGATGTAAAATCACTGACCATATTATGAAATCAAAATCAATTTCTGACTGGCGCAGTCAATTAAAATACTGCAGATACTAGTGACAAATTCAGTGGGCAAAAGGCAGATTAAGGAAGTCCTCTAATGTTTGACTGGAAGTAGGACATCAGTCCGTATAAAATGAATCCCAATGTAATATAGGTGTACTTGTAAGCTGAGGACAGGGCACTTCATGTTACATTTTCAGTTGTCATTTGGGTGCAAGTTGTAAAGACCAAAGCACAGCAACTCCCTCTTTCTCCAACATGAAAATTATCCTCAAAAATTTCTCTGTCCAAGATTTGAGTCTTAACAAGAGATCCCAGTGGGATCTTGGCACCCACCATTTGAGGATCTGTTTTCAGTTCTTGAAGATTTATTTATTTTTTTTGTAAATGTTCATGAACTGGTCTTCATTGAATGTACTCAATGATGGCACAAGATATTTTAATTAAGGTGGATAATGGACATGGTCTTGAATCAATATGATAGAATATCGAAGAAAATATGCTTGTGTGAAATAAGCGTTGCATATACCAGGTATGCATGATATTCAAACTGAAGGTGGTTATTGACTCATAGCTGTAGGGTGATCTGCACAGGCCAACTAGTTATGCATTGGGGTATTTGTATATATATCATGTATCAAGGACACTGGATGTATTGAAATACACTTTTTGTTTGTATTTGTTTTTTGTCCTATTCACAGCCAGGGAAGCTCCATATGAAATTTGACAAAGATCCATCCAGTACTTTCTCAGAAATAGCAGTAACAAACTTTTACTTTCAAAATAAAAGATGGCCGAGAAGCGGCCATCTTGAAATCGGATCAGTCCAAAAAGGTATAATGCACAACTAGGGACCAAAGGGAACATGAATATGAAATTTGAGAAAGATCCATCCAGTACTTTCCAAGAAATTGTGGTAACAAACTTTTACTATTAAAATCCAAGTTTGCTGACAAGCAGCCATGTTGATTTCAAAACAGTCCAAAAAAGTACAATGCACAATTAGGGACCAAGGGGAAACTGCATATGAAATTTGAGAAAGATCCATCCAGTACTTTCCCAGAAATTGCGGTAACAAACTTTTACTTTCAAACTCCAAGATGGTAACAGGAATTGTTTACGGACGGACGACAGACCACGGACGCAGGGCGATTTGAATAGCCCACCATCTGATGATGGTTGGCTAAAAATTTAATACAAGGAAATGGTTAAATAGAGGGTTAAAATCATTTACCAAAGTTTGCTTTTGGTTGCTATGCAAATTAATTTTTTTTACAGTATTTTTTTTCTTAAAATCCAAGTATCATACCATAGCCTTTCAATGAAAGATGAGAATTGATTTAAAGAAAAAAAAAAAAGGTTGCTGCAAAAATAACAAAGAATGTCAGTTAATTCAGAACACTTTCCCCGTTATGCATATTCTGACACCAGTATCAGAAGAAGAAGTGCAGCAACAAGCAACATCTAACCTTTCAAAAAATCATTATTATAACCAAAGTTTAATACTGGATTTTTTTTCACCTTTCAGATGAGCACAGTCTTAAGTGATAATTGCATTCATTTTCATAAGTTCCAAATAATAAACAACTGTCATCACACTGATCAGGTAAACAAAACAGATACAAACAGTTTTCAGATCTTTTAATTGTAGTACTGTTTTGTATACAGAGATGTGGTAGTATTATAATCCTGACAGTGAACAGTAAATTCACATTAATCAAATTTATTGATACATAGACTTCATCTACCAAAAATTAACACGAAGTATACAAATCAATACGATACATTGTCATATTGTAATATGTGTTGATAACCATAAATTTCATATCTTAATTAAAAGGAACATCGCAATATTTCATTGTCAATAGTGAAATAAAGCTAAAAATAAAATCCATGCTAATTACATATTTCTGTTTATAGTTTAAATAAAAAAAACATTTATATACACAATATAAATCAATGTTTGTTCTAACAAAGTCTGAGCAAATCTGAGCTGTTTGTGAAAAGTATGGCTAGATTTACAGGGTCAGTGTATCAAAGCTATCAATGCATGAATAGTGCAATCATACCTGCATGAACAGCGATGGGAGTCTGATTTACCAGCATGTTAACACATCTATATATTTACTTTTACAGAACTTTGAGTTCATAATTTAGACCGTTTTTCTTCCACAAAATATATGCCATTTGATCTGTATAGTGCTTTCTGAGACAAGAGATTTTGAGGACATGTATCACATATTTAGTTATTTCAGCAAGCATGGAACCTTTTTCTATCATGAAAAAATAATTCCTCTCAAGTGTCTCCAGTATCAAGTAATAACATAGTCATAGGTCCAATGATATTTACTATTTCCATGTTATGACCCATAGATTATGTCTCCAGGGGAAGGACAGGATCACAGGCAAACAATATAGTGATGCCTCAGATAAGGTCCACCCCACTCCCAACCCAAAGCAAAGCCATACCATTCATTACAACACATCATGGAATCTCTACCTCTTATCAGAAAGGCAGTTTCAGTGGACATAAAATCTGTTATATGAATAAAGAATCTCAACCAGGTAATGCTCAAGATCAAATTTGGTGTAAATTTGGTTATTAAATCATGAGGAGTAGTCTTTTTAAAAATAAAGAGAAACAAAATACATGTAGATAAACCAAAAGAAACCCCAGAGAAACCAAATAAACAAGAAGAAAAAAAAAATTATCACTTGGTAACAGTGAAATCAAGCAATATTGATATGCAAACATTCATTTATTCATATGATGTCCATCAAAAATCTAGTAAACTCAAGATAGCATCAGTTCCCTCTGATTTTCACAAATATCTCATACCAGTTATAGTTATTTTCCAAGAAAATCCATTCTACTTACATTTGGGTAAATAATCTCTAGCTTTGTTTTCCTGTGCTTTCACTTTTACAACGTGTTGGACTCAACTTATTTATCAAAACATAAGGACATAAGGCAAGGTAAAGCAGAAGATTGCCTGATGACAATAGATCAATCCTTTTTCTGTACTAGATAGCTTTGTGGAATTGGTCAGTTCAGGCTAATAAGTTGTTTCATATTATTTACTGTCCGTTTACAAGATTGATTAACATGTTTCCAGGTACAATATGTATATCATTGTAGAAAGTCGTGATACTGTCATGTTCGAAATCAGATACAGAGAAATGGCCAAGAAGCCATAAACCGAAAAATAAAAAAATGAAATAAATTAAATAACAAGGCATTCATCTATAAATAGGTCAAAAGGAATCTGCTATAAATAGGTATATAGAACTCAGAGGGAATTCATTTATAGATGGTCAGAAATCAGAGGGAATTCATGTACATATATATGCAAATGTATCAACAGAAATCACTCTGCATTCACTTATAAATACACAAAAATCATTGGGAAATGAGAATATTTTTTTTTGTGTCAAAACAAAGCAAAAATAATAATATGGGACTTAAAATTAGAAAGACATGAGTGACACAGCAGGTGGCAGTTATGTGTAATTTCAAAAACTGAACACAAGAAAAGTCACTGGCCTACACATCATTTTGTTGGCAAGTATGACTTTAGCAAACCTCCCCTCCCCCCTCCAATTCAACCTTACAGTTTTAACATATGCTGGTAACTTAAAGCTTTTAATACTTTTTCATACAGAAGATGAATATTTCAACGTAAAAAAAGCCACACAAAAACAACAGATATAATCTAAATAATTGATACAGTAAAATAAAAAATCCGTTCTGATTATATGCAACAAAATAAAACATTAAAACAACAAATTTGTGATCAAAATAAAAATCCATTATATGTGAGAATATATAAGATAACACAAAACAAATTTATGATAATGATTAAATAGGTGGTTATGAAAGTAGCTGGCACCAGCCACTGAAATTCTAACGTTTAAGTTTCATAAAATACAAAGAAATGAGATCCACATCAGCAGAACATCTTCTAAAATGTCTTCTCGAGATGGATTCCTTATGGAATACAGAGCCCAGTTCCAAAACAGTAACAAAAGTTAACAAAAGACCAGACAACATCTGTCGGAACGTTCAGCAGGATTTCATAAACATCTGTCATAACATGTAAACTTAAGTAATAAATCTGCTTCAAGTTTGATTCAAATCTTAACTAAATGGAATAGAACAAATTAGATTTTTTTCTAAAACAAACAGAAAAAAGGTTGAAATCTTGAACACATTCATTTCTAAATTAATGTAAAGAAGAGTTTCTATAATTTCTAGATGGCGACAGATTAAAATAAAAAAATCAATTTTAATCAGTGTTGAATCAAAGAAATCAAATACAAATACAGCAATAATTTTAACACACTTTTGTCACCCATAAAGATTACATGAAAGTCCTCACATAAGAAACAAAGTATCTACTGACAGTCTCCTACTCAAACAATTTGAATGCTGTCTCCTGTAAGATGAATATTTGATTTATGTTTTGACATCATGATTCATTATAATCAGCTCTCGTCATTTCATCTCGTCCAATTAACTCATTTGTAATAAAAAACAGGTCAAAATTCCTCCATTAAAAAAAAAAGAAATACACAATTTACCATTCATTATCAGTCAACAATTTCATTCAAACTAACCATATAATTCTACATTCTCATTTCAAATTAAGACACACATACCAACATTTTCATTCAAAATAGTGATACAAATGTCAACAGTATCCGAAAGGTAAATAGTGTTTAATCAACATGAATACATTTTTATCCAAAATCAAGATATGCAAACAAAAATTGTGTTTAAATCTATCATGCGTGAATCTTCTTATCAACAGCAGTGAAAAGTTGGTTGCACTAGATATAGTACATATACCTGTACAATGTGTCAAGATAATGATGCAAGTTTGATATAAAAAATCCTAGATGTTCACCAATCGATGATTTTCATACAAAGAGAAGTAAATTTCTTATGTGCCCGATACTGTATACAATGTTTGGTTACTTAGAGTTTCCACAAGAGGAGAAAATTCATAGTTTGCCGAAAATTACTACAATTTGAAGTGCATGAACAAGTCATCTCAGTTGTCTAAAGCAGAGGTCTGTATACTTTTTTGTATAAATTCATTTTTGCATTTTTCCAAAAAAGGAATCAAAGGGTATGTAGTAGGTTGGTAGACAATTTGGTACAAGGTCTAACCTTGACCTTTAACATAGGGTATGTAGTAGGTTAGTAGACAATTTGGTACAAGGTCTAACCTTGACCTTTAACATAGGGTATGTAGTAGGTTGGTAGACAATTTGGTACAAGGTCTAACCTTGACCTTTAACATAGGGTATGTAGTAGGTTAGTAGACAATTTGGTACAAGGTCTAACCTTGACCTTTAACATAGGGTATGTAGAAGGTTAGCAGATAATTTGTCAAAAGGTCTACCCTTGACCTTTAATCTAGGGTATATAGAAGGATAGCAGACAGTTTGTCACAAGGTCTATCCTTGACCTTTTACATAGGATATTAAGGTTAGCAGACAGTTTGTCGAAAGCTCTATCCTTGACCTTTAACAATATACACTGTATTTCTATATGGTGTTGCTGACATAACAAGATGAAAATCATACCCGAAATAAAATAGACATTTTTGTATTTTTACTGACTTCTCATTTTTCAAAATGGAAATTCTGACTAATTTAGGTTGTAAATAGACAAATTTGGGAGAACAATCCATGGTTTAAAATCAGTTTAGGTCACATGGTCAGTGAGATCATGTTAACAATTACTATACGGGGTTTTCACACAAAAGAGAAATTTTTGGATGGTATACCATTAGTTATGGTTTATATACCGTTGCAAATTACTTTGACTAATCATTATAAGATCACAATTGATTCAGAATACTGTAACACAAATTTGTCTGACATACTTCAGGTTAACAACAAGTTAACCTGCTTATAATATTATACATCTAGCCTTATCATATTGATAGACTCTTTCTGTCAGCTTTTACCTGGGATATTATTCAAAACTGACCTGGTAGATGTAACAAAAATAAAAGCTTCTGCTGACAAGAAAAAGAAACATATTTTTATCTATCAAAATTATCAAAGAGAAAAAGTATAACACCCCATATACATGTACATACTTCAAACATCAAGCAGCCTGCTGAAAACCCGTTCCATAATGTTTTCGTCCAGAATGTAATTTCAGGACTATCGGCATCTAGGTTATCGCAGGTCAACTGTACATACTTCAAACAACAAGCAGTTTACTACAATATTACTTACTTCCCTGAGACAATGTTACATAAAAATATCACAATAGAATGAAATAGCAGGATATCACTCCTGACGTTTCTGCATTTCCACCCTGGTATGATATGTATTGCTTCTATATCAAATTATCTCCCTTTCTTTCTCTTCAGTTTTTTATTTGCCCTTTTGTCAGCTATTTAGATTTTTCCATAAATCACAAAAAAAAATCAAATCAAAGCTATGAACCAAAGGGTATATACAAATGAAATTTAAGATAGTATTAGATGATGATGGGCTGGTTTTTGGAATGGTCTAGATACCTCTATGAAATGTGTGTCGCACATGTTAGACATGTACGTCTTTTGTTTGTTTTGGCAGATGAGAGCAATTCTATAATATCTTTTTCTATATTCTAGTCATGTTTGATTTGTGCTTGTTGCAGATCTTCAGAATCTGGAATTCCGCTTTTCTCTTCACGAATCTTTTGCTGTATAAGCTCATGGATTTCCTCATATCCAGGTTTTTTGGCTTGCATCTCTGCTGTGTTTTCAAAAATGTCCTTTGTGTCCCACCTAGCATCGTTTCCTAACAAGTAACGCACAGCAGACATCTTCTTTGTACTCACTGCCTGTAAACAAAAGCATGAAGTAACATCAATATCAGCATTTTCACTCTGAAATCAGTACAAATATTTACATCAAGATTCTGGTGAATGAACTTTTCAATCTCAAGCTCTTGTGAGTAATAGCTACACCTTAATGTTTGAATAGAACACATGTTATAGCTAAACAATCATCAGGTTTGTGTGCTGGGTAAATCCAATCGTAAATATCCAGAATCATTTCAAGGCAGGGTCTGCTTGAAGTAGCTGGTAGTTTCCTCACTGAATATCATACAGGAGGCATGTCATATGACATCCAGGGCAATTTAGGTGAATTGTCTTGACAGAGATGTGATATCACAACATGAACCTTGAGGTTGTAAAGTCTGAAGTTCCACTGGCTAAGATATCTCAGTTCTGTGTTGATAAACTCATTCCTCATTGAACAGTTGATATGTAGATCAGTTGGCTCATTACTGTTATAACAGTGGACAGTAGACATGTAGCCACATTGACTCACTATTGCTTGAACAGTAGAAATGTAGACACATTGACTCACTATTGCTTGAACAGTCGACATGTAGACAAAATGGCTCACTATTGTTTGAACAGTCGACATGTAGACACAATGGCTCACTATTGTTTGAACAGTCGACATGTAGACACATTGACTCACTATTGTTTGAACAGTCGACATGTAGACACAATGGCTCACTATTGTTTGAACAGTCGACATGTAGACACAATGGCTCACTATTGTTTGAACAGTCGACATGTAGACACATTGGCTCACTACTGTTTGAACAGTCGACATGTAGACACATTGACTCACTATTGCTTGAACAGTCGACATGTAGACACAATGGCTCACTATTGTTTGAACAGTCGACATGTAGACACAATGGCTCACTATTGTTTGAACAGTCGACATGTAGACACAATGGCTCACTATTGTTTGAACAGTCGACATGTAGACACATTGACTCACTATTGCTTGAACAGTCGACATGTAGACACAATGGCTCACTATTGTTTGAACAGTCGACATGTAGACACAATGGCTCACTATTGTTTGAACAGTTGACATGTAGACACAATGGCTCACTATTGTTTGAACAGTCGACATGTAGACACATTGGCTCACTACTGTTTGAACAGTCGACATGTAGACACATTGACTCACTATTGCTTGAACAGTCGACATGTAGACACAATGGGTCACTATTGTTTGAACAGTCGACATGTAGACACAATGGCTCACTATTGTTTGAACAGTCGACATGTAGACACAATGGCTCACTATTGTTTGAACAGTCGACATGTAGACACATTGACTCACTATTGCTTGAACAGTCGACATGTAGACACAATGGCTCACTATTGTTTGAACAGTCGACATGTAGACACATTGACTCACTATTGTTTGAACAGTCGACATGTAGACACAATGGGTCACTATTGCTTGAACAGTCGACATGTAGACACAATGGCTCACTATTGCTTGAACAGTCGACATGTAGACACAATGGCTCACTATTGTTTGAACAGTCGACATGTAGACACAATGGCTCACTATTGTTTGAACAGAAGACATGCAGCCTTCTGATGCTATTTGAAGAAAAATTAGTACATTGGAAATATAAGAATCAGTGAAACTTTGACAGTGAATCATATCACAGATGTGGCTGTTCATGCTGGTAAATTTCACCTACATTTGTTCAGACTATTTCACGGAAATAACTATCCCAACCCAGGAAGGGTACAAGTGAAGTTATTTTGCAGTCCTGGGGTAATGAAGATGTTTCAAAGGAATAACCCTTAGGTATGTTGAGAATTTTTCAAAGCTTATAGAAAAACATTTTTTTCTATCCAAATGATAAGATAAAAGAGTGTGCATCTATTCAAATAGATGGTTCTAAAGCGAACATGTATAAGATATATGTAGATTAATTTACCACATGTAGCGGTGTCCTTTTATCGTAATCAGACACGTTTAGGTCAGCTCCTGCTAACTTCCAAGCCTGTAGTGTGCTAACTTCATCCCTAGCTGCAGCACTGAAAGTCACAGAGAATAAATATTATTTCTTAATATCAAATAACATAGCACATATACTAACACTACTGAAAGTGCAATCCAGAGAAAAACAATGCATTCATCAAAAAAAAATCCCATTAATTAATGAATATATGCCTATAATCATGTTTGAATATTTCTCATGATGCAAAAAAAAAGTAGTGATGTGTGCAAATGCATCCGTGAATGATTCCATAAATATTAATTCCATGGCTGTAACATTCATCTATTTACCTATTAAAAAATCCATAGGCATCACTTCTTGTACACTTGAAATTTCTGATAATAAAACATATCATGTTCATAAATTTTTATACATTGTAACTTATTTACTTCTACCGAATAACACGTTAACTAAAATTTAAGCGATAAAGTAATGAGACACATGCGTAAGATATCCTTTTACATCAAAAATCACATAATTTTAATACATTAAGACATAATTAATTCATTTCTGAAGAAAATCATCAGAATTTAGACCCGTGAAAATTACTTGCTATGGTACTTAATATAGAAAGAATTCTGACAATAATATTTGGATGTCAGGGGAAAGATTACCCAACCCACCTCCTCCTCAATCTTAACAATACATGTTTATCACTTTTAGGAAAGTTTTCTCTTGTTCAGAGTATGCAGTTCATTAATTGAAATTTAAGTGAGACAATATTTTCTTTTTAAATTTTTAACAGAAATTAAAATTTTATGTCAGTTTTTGTAAAAATCCACATAGAATATACCTGGGCAATCGAGCAGAGTTCAATGATTTACTTATGACCACTCTAAATGAATTTACCTGCAGAGCTCCATGGCAATGCGGATGGGATGCATGGTGAGGTGAGCACCTGTCCTGACTAGTAGAGTGATGATCTGGTGGTGTTTACTGATAATGGCATCATTGAGTGGAGTATGGTCGTGCTGGTCCTTAGAGTAGACTGTGGCCCCATGATGGAGCAGGTACTGTACTACAGCATGGTGACCTTCTCTAGCAGCCACATGTAATGCTGTTCGGCCATCTTGATTTCCAGCTGATAAATTGCCACCCTGGTTGTGAAAATCAATCAAATAATCTCTGGTGAAAAAAACTTCTTTAAAATGTAATTAAATGATAGTCAATGCCATGAAATTCATTTCTATTCTCTTATTGTGTCATAACAGAAGTGGAATTGTGACTTAATCAATGAAAATTCATGATGTACCAAACACTTCAAAATAAAAATATAAGAAATTTAGAATATCATTTTTTTTTATCTTAGCCCCTGCATTTAAGACCTAGGTGAGGTTAAATATACATTTAAGTTTTTCAAAAATTGGGCCTTTCTTTATATTCTGAATGGACTTCTGAAACAAGTGACGTCCTTTTCCATTTCTATTCCTCAAAAAACTATAAGGACAGTGTCAATGCAAACTCTACATGTATATCATAACATATTTTTCTACACATTCAATGCATTCGTTTTGACCTTTTGTCTGTGTAAGTGATACAGCCCTACAGGAAACAGTACAGATAGTATTACATACTGTGTTCCTGAGTCTTTCCAGGGCTTGGACGTCGTTACTTTTGGCAGCAGCACACATCAAGTTAGGATATAGCGCCTCTCGCAGTTTTATTGTTTCCTCTTTAGTGCTAATGCTGAGTGCCTTAGCTACACTGTCTATCAACTCAAAGTCTTGTAAGGAAATGTCTTCCTTGCGAATGGCCTGTACTTCTCCACGCAAATTTCTTTCCATCATCTGAAGACAACAATATCTGGTGCAAATGAACCTAATTTCATTTGCTCAAATATCATGACTATCTTAATAATTTTCAAAATTGAGTCTGTTAACTTGGCAACACCATGAACTTAAATTATAAGTACTCCAATAGGTATAACATTTCATTTTACAATTATTATATTAGGTCAGTTTGACTGAATGAGAATGGGCAGTAAGCAATGCCTATACAAATCTACTCAAACTTACATTTCAAACAATACGTAGTGAACCATACTTATATTTGAGACTTGCCAGTAATTATTTATCAGAAATATTCTCTGATTAACAACATTCACACAAAATCATACGGAATCACAGAACTCCAACTTAACAACTTGTAAGCATTCCTGTACATATCATCTTGTTGACCAATCCAGCCAGGTATACTTCTAATTTATAATTTATTAGACAAGTAATTCTGTATCACCAAATCTTTTTTCTTTTGAATTTAAACCAATTCATTACATCGTGGATCAGATGCAAGTTCTCACAACTTATCAATATCCTCTCTATAATACAAGTATATTTAAATTAGTGTTATATATACCTAGTATATAGTACAGACTATCAACCTTTTATCATTAAAAATCACTTCAATAAGTTTCATGCTTGTTTTTACTATCAATCACCATACTACCTGTAATTATTTTATTGTCATCCTCAATCTTATTATCATTTGCTAATCAAGACAAAATCACTTCCATTTCAGACATAATACAGCACAAAATAGAATGATTATGTCAACAGACAGACAACTTCGTGACACAGGGTTTCAGAAGATGCAGGCTGCTGAAAATTTTTATGGCCGTCAAAGTGATCTCAATGAAAAATATTCTATGTCTTTGTGCTATATGAAGCTAGATCTGTTTGATGCTCATTAGTTTTCCTGTTGGTTGTGTTGTTGTATACCTTGTTCTCATTTGAGACCATAGCATTACTGAATTGGATTGACCAAGATTTGCATGGTGGGTGTCATTGATGAAGCAGAAGAAGCTTACTCTTTCAGAACACCTGGTTTTAGTTTCCTTGTATTTGAGTCTGTGTAAATATTAAATACACAAGATGGTAAGAAAGTGAAACCAAATTGACTACAGTACATTTTTAACATTTTGTGTATTTTTTGTCTATGAACTCTTACCATCTTGTCACACTATTTTTGATTATGATTATAGTAAAAGTTGGTGGATTCCATATAACCTCATACACTACATATATCAGTGCTAGTACATGCCACACTGGTCATTTGTCTGAGGAAGGTGACAGTGTAGTCATTGAAACATCAAAACCAAATCTTCTACTGGTATATCAAAAGAACTTCTTTCCTAAGTAACCCTAAAATAGTTTCTATTTGTACGCTTTACTTGAAAAACCAAAAAATTATATGATTATACAGTATAAGCATCAGTCTTCACTCACTACTACTTTTACCTACCTTAGACTTGGTTTTAATACTCCAGTTAGCTTTGCCGAGTACATAAGAGAGTTTAGTGAGAGCTGCCTCTGCTGTCATATCACCTCCAGGTATCACACCTTTATCGTACAGAGCCTGTCATAACAATTGAAACAAAAGTGTTCCTACTACAATTAACTGTACAGCTACATATTACCTAATTTATCCTATAAAAAGGTTAACACAGCTGTGTTAACAAGAAAGTGAGGAGGTTTTATTTTAGAGTAGTGATGAAGCCTTTGTTTGCATTGAGACTGTAATAGATACAAATGTATGTGGATAGGCTTATTGCTTGATAAATATAATGACCATTCCCTATTAAGAACAAGCTGGTATTCCATTGTGACTTTCCAAGGTAACCTTCAATTACATTATTTATACTTTTACATAATTTGCCAAATAAGTTTATTCTGAGTACATTTCTGATTTAACAGTACTGATTGGTTGGTTGACAGGTTTTCAGACTCCACGACTCCTCCTATGTATCATCTCAATGATGACCCCTGGACCAGGGTTATCACACTTACTCTTTTTCAAAAAGCTACAGAGGGATCTTAATATTGAAGAGTGGACAATCCTCACATGGGCCACCATTTAAAGTCCCATCCACCAAACTATGTTAACTGGTTAGATCAGTTCAGGTGTAATCAAAATTAACACTTGGTATTTAACTCGATGATTTGTCGATCACTGAAATAGGGTTTTTTTGGTAACAATTTACCTTCCCTGTCGCATAGGCAGCATCCACATATCCACGCGTACACTGTGTTATATTAACAATTATAACTCCTATATTGATAGCTTCCTCTATGGCCTTCAGGAGCTCGGGACGGTTATCAGGAGCATTCCCTGCACCATATGATTGTAGCACAACTCCTTGTGTTGGTGGCTGGAGAAATGATCGCACCTAAAAAACAAGAATATACTGACATGTTAATAAAACCTGGATTCAATTTGAAAAATTAAAGAAACCTGTACAAAATATGAATGGACAAGAATATCTGTGAAAACTAATGAATGCTCCCAAAAACAACTTTATTGGACACAAAATTTCAACAAAGGGCAATAAATCTGTCATTAAGGCCTTACAATGGTACACTACACATTCTTTATGTGATCAATGTATACACCAAGTTTCATTATCCTAGTTTAAATACAATCAATTAAAAGTTGTACTCTGGACATAAAATTTCAACAAAGGGCAATTACTCCATAATTAAGGGGTTGCTAACCAAGAATTTAGTACAATGCACATCAGCCAATGTATACCCAAGTTTCATTATCCTTGCTTAACATGTACAGTCAGCAAAGTTATGCACCGGACTGAAATTTTGTGGGGCGCATGAAAAAGATATACATGGAAAACTTTAATAGAAAACATTGAGAATAAGATCAGGTGTTCAGGCAAAGTATTCTACTGAATTCATCCTTCTATGTGAATACTGGTTAATCCATTTAAGTACCATCACACACTCAAATAGGAATAAGATTCACAACAATGAAGCCAACAAGCATACAAACAATGGTCAACACATTAACATTCATAATGCACATCGCAACATCTTACCAGCTGTACAGAAATGCCTGGAAAAAGTCTTAACAGACCCACATTTGGACACATCTCGCTGTGGATACGAAACTTCTCTGTGGTACCACTTCGAAAAACATGGGCCCAGTCAACTAAAAGAAAAAAGACAAAAGTAACAAAATTAGGACCAAAGGATGCTACAGACCAAATTGAGACAGTATCCTTGCATTCCATAAAAAAGAGGAGTTGAAAGAATTCAATCTTATGCCAAGATGTACTAAAATTTATTCTCCTTCACCCATAGATATTTTAGATCAAATTGGGACAGAATCCTGGCATTTCTATTGAAGAAGAAGGATTTAAAAGAATTTGTACTATTTTTGCTATTGGGCTCCATTCCTCCCATCCAAGAGGGCTGAGATCCACCACCAATGCAAAATTGATTTCCCTTCATTCAAGAATGTTTTAGAAAAATTTGAACAAAATCCAATATTTCCTACAGAAGAAAGGATTTTTAAAAACTTTCCCCAATCAAATCCTGCCCACATTCCCCTAGGAACTAAGAACTAACATTCATCCAAATTGAGTCCCTCTGCCCAGCAGGATTCTTCTGACCTAATCTGGTCAAAATCCATTTGGTTGTAGTATCCATTTTTAGTAAAAAGTTGATGGACGCTGGTTGGAAAACAGATAGCTGCACTGTGTCATAATCTCAACAGTCCTTCAGAAAAAATGATGTTAATATTTTGTCTGTGATAAACACACATATGTATGTATTATCTGTACAGAAGCTTGATATCTGTACCAAAAGACCTGATCCTTGAACCAAAGGAAATCAAGATCATCCATTTCTAAATAGATAGGCTATCTTATCTACAAGTATTTTTTGTCATGAGAAAGTGGAATATTCTATATTTTTTTCATGAGAAATGGTTGTATTTGTCTATGGTTTAGAATTTCACGATTTTACAAAAAACTTGAAGTAAAGGGATATTTTTCACTGATGCCATGAGATGAACCATTCCTTTTTCTATTACCTTTATCTTTAGAGGTGTTTTTTGTGATGCCTTTAAAAACTAAAAAAAAATGTTACTCTGATATCTCAATAAATTACACATTTGCAAACAAAACGCAATCACTAACATAAAAAATAACCAATTAAAATTATATATCTTTATGTAAGTATCATACCCCAACATGTATTAATCAATTAACATAATCCTGTATATATTTATCCCTTCCATAAGCCAGGACGTTACCTCTGACTCAAGGTCAGAGGATGGGGTCATTACGAGGAAGATAACAGTTTATGTAGATTACACTGAACAACAAATATATTAATCTGGTGTTTAATCTTTAATGTAAGCAGTTTGACAGGTTGTACCAGAACACTTCTTATTACAATGTCTGACGAGTCATGAAAAAATATTTTGAGGGCTGTAATTTATGTGTGCCTGTCTGTCATGATTAATAATGAATTATCGTTTTTTAAACTTAAAATGTTGTCAAACTGGTTTGCCTTCATAAAGTGACAAAAGTTCAAAAATTATTTCTGTACTATTTTCAAGACAGCTTTAATGGCCCATAAGAGAAGAGTATAATGTTACAGAGAGATTACAATGTTTACATATTAGATTGTCCTTGACAATGGACTATGTTTAACTATGACCACAGCATTTATGTCAAGTCTGTTTGGATAATATTGAATTCCGGTTTGTTGTTTGGATTTATATAACCTACAATGTTTGTCTTCAGATGTACTATAGATTAGGACTTACCTGTAATGTCAGTCTCCAAAGACTTACCTGTGATGTCTGTCACCAGATCTGCTATAGCTTAGGACTTACCTGTGATGTCTGTCACCAGATCTGCTATAGCTTAGGACTTACCTGTGATGTCTGTCTCCAGATCTGCTATAGCTTAGGACTTACCTGTGATGTCTGTCACCAGATCTGCTATAGCTTAGGACTTACCTGTGATGTCTGTCTCCAGATCTGCTATAGCTTAGGACTTACCTGTGATGTCTGTCTCCATATCTGCTATAGCTTAGGACTTACCTGTGATGTCTGTCTCCAGATCTGCTACAGCTTAGGACTTACCTGTGATGTCTGTCTCCATATCTAATATAGCTTAGGACTTACCTGTGATGTCTGTCTCCAGATCTGCTATAGCTTAGGACTTACCTGTGATGTCTGTCTCCAGATCTGCTACAGCTTAGGACTTACCTGTGATGTCTGTCTCCATATCTAATATAGCTTAGGACTTACCTGTGATGTCTGTCTCCAGATCTGCTATAGCTTAGGACTTACCTGTGATGTCTGTCTCCATATCTGCTATAGCTTAGGACTTACCTGTGATGTCTGTTTCCAGATCTGCTATAGCTTAGGACTTACCTGTGATATCTGTCTCCATATCTGCTATAGCTTAGGACTTACCTGTGATATCTGTCTCCAGATCTGCTATAGCTTAGGACTTAACTGTGATGTCTGTTTCCAGATCTGTTATAGCTTAGGACTTACCTGTGATGTCTGTCTCTAGATCTGCTATAGCTTAGGACTTACCTGTGATGTCTGTCTCTAGATCTGCTATAGCTTAGGATTTACCTGTGATATCTGTCTCCAGATCTGCTATAGCTTAGGACTTACCTGTGATGTCTGTCTCCAGATCTGCTATAGCTGCAATATTTGGTGATATAAAAGCATCAAAACTGCCCGAGTCATTCTTTATGGTCCTGTTACCTCGCAAAACTTTGTTCCCAAATAAAACCAACACCTGAAATTAAATTGTTCTATAAATGTGTGTATAGGTTTTGATCTTTCCCAATCATTAAAACAATTCACATCAACAATGTCAGGTTGAGTCACTCCAGCACATACAAAATTCACAGGATAAGTCATTTACAATTATTTTCAACAAAAATCTCACCGGATCTGTATTTTTTACCTCAAAAGCTATTATAGCTAATTAGATTGTACTAGGATAAACTACATGAAATACCAGAGGACTAAGACCTACAAATAGTAATGAACATAGTATAATTGTTCTGCACAGAAATATATCTCCTTTCATCGGATATGGCAGCAACTTCATAAATATTTGTAAATAAGTGTGTTCATTACAACATATACAATCCAAAATCGTTAAATGTAATTTTAAAGTTAATTCAGAAATGTGCTAAAATACATCTGTTTTCCATCACTGCCAAATCCAGCAACAATATATGTGGCAGGTGCATTCCAACAATGGCCAGTTGCAGGATAATAACATATTTATGGTTGTCTAGTCCAACTAAAGTGAAACATTGGATGAGCTCTAGTCATCTTGATATGTGCATGATAGTTTCTGGTTTCACAGTATATATGCCTTACAAAATATCAAAGTGAGTTCGATCTTAACCTCAGAACAAACAAAGGTAACCACCATAGTTGGCAATTGCAAAATTGGAAACTGATACTTTCAGTCAAACATGGCTTATAATAGCCTTATACAGATATGTGGCTAAAGAGTTACAACTATTGCTAAATTAGTCATCATTCTTTGGTGATCAACTAACCTGAAAATGGTTCTGGCAAAATGTATCACATTGCTAACCACAAGTTTTGGCCTTGCCACACTCAAACTTACCTCTCATTTTAACTCAAATTTGACTCTGGTATTAACTCAAACTTCCCTCTGGTGTTAAATCAAATTTGACTCTGGTATTAAATCAAATTTGACTCTGGTATTAAATCAAATTTGACTCTGGTATTAAATCAAATTTGACTCTGGTATTAAATCAAATTTGACTCTGGTATTAAATCAAATTTGACTCTGGTATTAAATCAAATTTGACTCTGGTATTAAATCAAATTTGACTCTGGTATTAACTCAAACTTCCCTCTGGTGTTAACTCAAACTTAACTAAAAATTCCCTCATGTATCAGTAACTCAAACTTACCTCTGGTGTTAACTCAAACTTAACTAAAAATTCCCGCATGTATCAGTAACTCAAACTTAACTAAAAATTCCCTCATGTATCAGTAACTCAAACTTACCTCTGGTGTTAACTCAAACTTAACTAAAAATTCCCTCATGTATCAGTAACTCAAACTTAACTAAAAATTCCCTCATGTATCAGTAACTCAAACTTACCTCTGGTGTTAACTCAAACTTAACTAAAAATTCCCTCATGTATCAGTAACTCAAACATACCTCTGGTATAAGAAACTGTCCTGCTACCACAAGGGCTGACAGGAAGTTGTCTCTACCGTCACTTCTCACCTCAAATATTGGAATCTGTAAATAATTTAATTTCAATTTTTATCATTAACAGGATGCATTATTTTCATAGCTAGTCTACATTCTGTCACCTTCATCAGACAAATGATCAAAGAAGCAAAATTTTTGTGCACTCATGTGTAATATGTAGTGTACAAGAAAGGAAACAACATTGTTAATTTCTTTCTCAAATATGGTTTTGATGTAGACATCTACAATGTTGATGTATGCTTAATTCAAATCCTGTAATTTTGATTATATTATGTCAATATATTTATGCCTAGGCTTAAGATAAAACTTGTAGCCAGATTGCCTTATTTGGGTCAATTACGTACATGATAATTACCTAATTAATCACATATTGCTTACTCAACACTATATTAATTAGACTGTATTTGCAACTTTAATGTACATTGGAATTATAATATAGGCCAAAAACCATGTTAATGTGATTATCATTCCTTACATGTTACACCTCAGTGAACATAGGCATTAATTAAGAGCTTAAAAACCATGTTAATGTGATTATCATTCCTTACATGTCACACCTCAGTGAACATAGTTATTATAAAACAAAGTTAATGCCCTGTCAATTTAATCATTATTCCTTACACACTACACCTCAGTGAAAAAAGTATTTATAGAAAAGTCGAAAAACCATATTGATTTGATTATCGTTCCTCACATGTTACACCTCAGTGAACAAAGGATTATAAAACTGCTGAAAAGCCAACAAAAGTGATTACTATAAGTTAAATGTACTTGTTTCACAATTGTTGTACAAAAAAAGCTTATATTATATCAATAATTACGAGATGTAAAAAATCCTACTGATAGTCTTTGACACCAAGCGTCTTCTCTGGAGATGCATTCTGTTCTCAATGGCTCAAATTTTCAACCCAACAGTTTTACGTACCTGAGATCCTGTCAGAACAATAGGTTTACCAAGGTTTTCACACATGAAGGACAAGGCCGAAGCTGTGTATGCCATCGTGTCAGTTCCGTGGAGGATGACAAATCCATCGTAGTCATCGTAGAATGTCTATTAAATGATAAGAGCTTCATACAGACACTGTATACATGCTTCAAAGATAACGATTTAGTAATGCATGCTATTCCACATAATACATGTATCCTTGTGATGTACATCTGGGTTCTTTCCCTTGAAAATTTCAAATACTTATACAAAATCTAAAATAACTCAGTCTTTCTCTTCTTTGTCATCAGATAATGACATCCAAATCAATATTCATCTAACAAGTTCTATGTGATTCTTAGAGTGAAACTTTCTTGAAAAGGAGGTACAGGTCAGACTTATGTAGCATAAACCCTTAAATCAAGATGTCCCTGTAGCCCACATACATTACAGTCTAGTTTCTATAACTTTTGGTCTATTCATCGTAGCATACTACACTAAATCATTAAAGACTTACTGGAATACGATTGGCTATCTTTGACCAGTATCACAGTGAAAGACTTATGGAAATATCATTGGCTATCTTTGGCCGATATCACAGCTATAAAGACTTACTGAAATGTCATTGGCAATCTTTGACCAGTCGTTCATATTCATGTTACTGGAATCTAACAGCGGATTATATTCCTTTATGTGATATTTCACCCTTCGTCCACTCCTCATAACCCTGTAACACAAAAAGTAACCAAACTCAGTATAATATCAGTAACATACCTGTTAACATCCATTATACATCACTGGGAGTTTACCCCTTATTTTAGACAAAGACTATTATTCACAATTTTCAGAAGTCCAGCAGGAACAGTGACTAAAATGTCTCCTGTTATAAGATTATCGAGAGAAGGTCTGCTACTGCTTTTCCACAAAGTCTCAAAACTTTAAACCACTCTAATGCCCTGAGAGACAATTTCAAAAAAAAGTCAAGTGTCCTTTTATTGTCCTAACTGAAATTTAAAACAGAGAAAAAAATGAAAAAAAAAAATTAAGAAAATTCGTTCTTTGGTCTTTTTCACACTTATTCCAATGAAAAAACAGGATTAATCTGACTAATTGTATATGATTAAGCATTTGCTGCACAGTCTGGTCTGGGTCAGCATGTTATATCTACCATAATACTGAGCAAGTGGTCTCAGTTTTTTTTTTAAAAGGAATCAAATGATAGAAACATTATTAGTCACATGTCTTACTTACGGCATTACAAGTAGATCTTTTTCCTCTTCCATAAGCTGCTCTTCAGCGTAAGATTTGTCATGGAATATTGGCAACTTCTTAAGCTCGGGGATAAGGTAATCTGCTTCTGGTTCATACACTGTTAGAAACAAGGAAAACTGAATTTAGGATGTACCATAGTAGTTTATATCCAGTAATTCCTCACCAATCAACCTTCTCCCGTTATAAGAAAACTATTGATGAGAAATACTCAATATAACTTGTGTGTATATTTGTTTTTGAGCTCATGCTAAATTGAAGTTTAATATCTTTTTATTACCTTAAACAAACATGCTTGGTGTAATAATGTCGAATCATAAACAATTGGATTGGACTGAAGTCGTTTGACCAATTTATGTATTTTTGCAAGGATACAAATTCCTTATACCAGAAAAAATACAAACATTCAAAGCAACTGACAACTCTTCCCCTATCAATAGATTATATATCATATTTCTAGGTTTGTTTATTAATCTTGGAGTGTGAAAATTTGAATTAAAAAAACACATTATCAGTAGATTATAAATCATACTTTTTAATATCATACAAAAAATAAAATTCAAATGTTATAACTTAAATATAGAATTCAGTAAATTGTCTCAGATATATTTCACATGAAAAGGTCCATTTTATGGACAGCAAACAATCACTTTGTGACTACATACCCTAAGAAAAAAATGAAAAAACTGTATTTCAGATTAATTGTACTATCATTATAATGAGGTAAAAAGTGTATTTAAAGGAATAAATGTAAAATTTTAGTTGTTCTGTTCAGAGAGAAAGTAATATTTTAGCGATGAAGTAATCTATATATATACACAGTGTAATTAAGTAAAAAAAGACTCCTTAACTGTCCAGGCCCCACTTGTATAAAACATCTCAACTTGAGATTTCCTCAAGTCAAGATTTTCCTCTGCTGAATATCTCCTCAAAAACGTCTTGTATAAAATGTTCTCAAGGAACAGGAGGAAGTCCTCGACTAGGATGTCCTGAAATTCCTTGAGGAATTTTCATACAAGATATTTTCAAGGAGATATTAGCTGGGGAAATTCTCGACTTGAGGAAATCTCAACTTGAGATGTTTTATACAAGTGGGGCCAGGTGACATTTAAGCAGAATAGGTAAGCTAGCTTTGCTATATACATTTATGTAAGGACTGAAGTGGACATTTCAAGCAGATTCAAATTTAAAAAAAAAATTGTCTTTGAAAACTGCGGAATGATAATGAGGAAAGCTGGGTTGTAAATTAGGTCAAGAAAGGGTTGTATAAATACAAATGTGTAAATATTTCTGAGTAAAGTTCCTGTGTTAGAAACTTTTGCTGTGCATATTTACTGGAAACTATATGAATACTTGAACATAAAAATAAATAAATATATCACCCTAATATCAAATGTAGCTTTAGGTATAATAGTTAGATACCAAATACCATGCTGGCAATAAGTCAATCATTATATTGTAAAGTAATAAACTACTGACAAAATACTAATTTATTGGTTAGTAATAAGCCGACCCCCTAACTGAATTCAGAAACATTTTTGTTGTCCCTCAACCCTTAACATAAGATAATAACAGTATTGTTTTAAAAAAGTCTGTTGTGTAATGCAAAAGTGTAAATTAACAAATAAGCTGATATCACTGAAAATTGGTGACTTTTACGCAATGATAATTAGCAAAGGGAATGCCAGCGTTCACTGATCCTTTTCTATGAACTGAATGTTCGGGTTGTTTTAAATTCTAACATCATAATTATTTTCAAAGGGGAAAAAATACTTCTGTTGATGTAAAATTTCACTTTATGCGACATATTTACCTTGACAAGTACACTATACAGAGTACATGAAATCAGAGGAAAGAAACTGTACACAACAGGTAGAGATAAAGGCTGCAGGTGTCATCAAGCCATATGTTAGGATCAGACGCTGCTGTTTCAAAAGCTGATAATTCTATATTAGCAAAACACACAAACCTGGAATCTGCTGGCTCTGAAATCTAAATGCCCTTCCTGTGGACAGAAAAGGCAATGACAATATCTATAGGACTAAATTATGTTAGTTCTTAGAAAAGGGCTTTCAAAAAAAATAGTCTACTTCCTTAAATGTTGCACTTGCAATACTATGCATTCAAAATATGACATGGAATTAATTTGAAAAAGAATTGTTCTGGTGTCTAAAAGCAAATTGCCATTACCAGACTTACGATAAGGTGATGACCTAACTCTTTCCTTTTCAGTGAGAATAGTCATGTAAAACAAGTTATTCATCAATAAAATGTAAAGTAAAATATCTCCATTTAAATACACATAAATATGCAAACTAAGGGTATGGAGGCTATTTGGGGCTTTATACTTGTCATAACATCATAGTTTAATGTTATTCACTAATGACCTTTCTGTGACCTTGAGGTCAAAACAAATGATGTATGACGAAGTTTCATCTTCAATGATAACAGTTTAAACAAGTTTTAAAATTATCTGACTTAAGAGTTTAGGTTTATTACAACGTCCCTAACTTCAAGGAAACAAACCTTCTAGTTGACATCAGGTATACATCTATTTACAATTCATATAAAAAACTTTATTCAAATAACATTAAACAATTCAGAAGTTAAAGCAACATTTAACGCCAACGATCTCAAAGCTATATGTTACTATATTTAGTTAAGCTCTGTCCTATATTAGTCAGTATAAATAGTATTAATGTTTAAGTTTCACACGAGTTTTGTTTTTAACGTTACATGCTAGTTTAGTTGCATAATATCAGCTCTGTGTATAATTTCTACACTGCCATATGTACTGTAGCTGGCTGATTTTTAACTGTGTATTAGTAGTCATGGTAACCATCTGTAGGGAACAATTTCTAATCAAAATGAAAAGCAAAATGAATGTAGTGTAAAATTTATTCACTGCTTTCATCATATATTATAAACACTTTCCTAATTTTATCAATTGCTGAACTAATTTTGTATCTAACAATCAAATGCATACTTCCATATTTTCTTGTTTCAATTTGTCCTTACTCTTGTCTTATTTGAGCATTTCATCTGCAGTAATATATTGGTGACATTAACTTGCACCCATTTTGGCATTTAAAACTATTTGGCTAATTTGTTAAGCTATGGCTACAATTTTAAATTTATATATTGATACGTACAGTATCAGATCAATATCAATCATTTTGAAGTTCATGAGAAAATTTGCAATAACTGATACTATCATAAACAATAAAACACAAACTTGTCCATCTGAAAAATACCAGCATGTATCAAAAAAGTAGAATACAAGAAAAAGTGTACAGAAATTTTGGACACATGCAAAAATTAATTTATAGATACAGGGTTTTCCATAAGAGCCGGTCGCCGGCCAATTTGACCGGCTACTTTGATCATTTGGCCGCCTACACCAATCCAGTTCCGTAACAATGTTCTGTACACCACTACACGTACACGGCAGGCCGGCTCGGGTCGGCTTGCTTTGCCAGGCTCCTACTTTCACTACACAGCCTACTACTAACAAAATTATTATCTTTTCAATACAAGTTTAAATTTACATGCAAAAACTATAGAAATTTATGATACAAAATGTCTATAAACATGAATGCATTACCTCCATACTATGCAAACCAGAATATGACCATGTGTAGAACATGATGCCATTGGATATATATAAACCCATCTGTGCAGAGGATTTAAAGATCTAACATTGATTGGAATAGTACATGTTGGGACTGGCAGGGGAGATGCATTGCAATGTATACCTACATGTATGCTACCCTCTCCTTGTGATCACTGACTGGCTATACTAACTGAGCTACATAAGCATACTGTGTCAGCTCAGTGACAAAAACGCTATGTACAATTCACATCAACCCACTCCTTTTACACTATTCTCCCTGTTTTTTTCTTGAACTTACCTAAATCTCAACCCAAAACTCCAAATTAATACCACAACCCCTCAGATTTTATTGGGTGCTAATGTTGAAGAACGGAAAATACACATCCCTATTGAGTGCCCCGACCAGAAATCGAACCAATTCCTATGTATGTAACTTAATCGATTAGCTACAGGTCCAGGCTATCTGACCTCCAAAATCAGTCGTTTAATAAAATTTAAGAAATCTCATCCTACTCCAAAAATGCAATCTTTCTCTGCCATATAACACAGAATTTAGCATTAGAAATTATGCCTTATACACTGGACACATTTAATGACAATTCAGAGCGACAGAAACAGCATGATTTTCTAGCTGCAACATTAGCATACCATCCCAAGTTCCCGACGTCAACAAATTGCGTCATGTTTTGTGTCCTACCTCCATTTCGGTTTGTTCTCATGCCAATCGTCCCTCCAGTGTATAAAACTAATACTTTTGCCTCCTGTTCCTGCTCAACAGATTCTGCGACGCCTGCAGTGGCAAGCTTACTGCGCCGCTGAAACAGATCGTCTTCCATGCCACGAGTTTTACCACCTTCGTCTGCCATTAGAAACTTCACTCGGAACACCTCGTGCCGATTCCAGTTACTATATGTATCCCTGAAAAAATGTTACTGCACATGTACAAATTTTAAAACGAAAGTAGGGTTACATATTTACTGGAGTAAAAGAGTTCCTTCACGTAATTTTTCTCAAATGGCAACTTGTCTTAAAAACCCCAATAATTTAGAGAACCATTTTACCGTCGTCCCAAGTCTGTCCGATAAACCTTCTTTTAGAAAATCATTATTTAGTAAGCAATTGAGTAGCGATATAAATACATGTAAAGAGACAAGTGCACACGGTTTTAATATTTAGCCAGTGGGTAGGTATGAATGGTGTCAGTGCTACAAAGTCTCCTCATATAAATGACCTTAACCTATTTACCAAGGTCTCGTGCGTTGAAATGACTAAAAATGTTATATTCTTTTCAAAGGCCGAAGGACTTAATCCTTATCTTTCTTCAATATATGTATATTTTACGATGTCTCACTTTGAAAAGATGACATTTCTGGCCTAACTGTATGTCGAGTGGCATCGAAGAAGACAAAAGACACAAACCCTTTCGGGACACCCATGATGGTTTTATTATCCGGTTGTGCCGTCAGATTATTAATGTAAATTTAAAGATGTCAACTGGCCGTTGCTTGTTTGTTGATGTTTTCCTCAATATCAACGATTTTGTTGACATGTTGGTATTTTTTTCTTGTTAAGAGTTATGGTGATTTGATATGTAAACAAACAATCAAATGGTATGTGTGCCACAGTGTATGGTATACACTGTTAAATATGAAAGCTAGCGACTAATAGAATTGACTTATGCTATATTTCGTTCGGTCCCACCTATGGATTAGATTCAGGTCAATTGTCGGCATCATATATATCATACAGCTGTTTCATCCTTCTAGATCTCGTCAGTGAAACTATGGATCTAAACTTTTAAAAGTTGGGGAAAATACAATTTCATATGTAATTTAATGAAGAGATATTGCGCTTAATTAACCGTGGATGGGCACATTTTCCCGTTCATCGCTTTAGTCGATCTAATGACGACAGGTAAACGTACATTCGGAGTCACGTACATGCACGTCCGGAAAGTGGTGTGTTTACCGTGTACATCGCTGGTGATATTACCAGTAAAGCTAGAAAGTGTACAAGTAAAGACAAAACAAAAGATTAAATCAATGTGACCATTTGTAATCCTGAAGATACATTAAACACTGAGATGTCTTTCACACTATCAAGTAGGACTCTATGTCACTAGTATTATCGTATAACTCATCGGCTGCATTAATTGTCACCAAATATGTTTGGTCAGTAATTGTCGCATTGCATTTGGATCAGGATTAAATTACAGGCCACTCGTCACTTGAATTAATTTATTTAAAATGTGTATTGAAGAAATGAGATCATGATGTTAGATCGAAGGTACGACCCCAATAAAATTCGGGTAACATGGAAGTACCGTCTAACAATTTGTGGTATAGCCACTGATGTAAAAATCGTCGAAATTTTATTCGATAATTCAAAATTGAAAGTATGACCACTTTTACATTTTTGGTTCAATATGATTTTCAATTTCCCAGTACCAGCGCTAAGTACCAGTTTTCGAGGATAGGATTTAAGTTACATCTGATCACACTGGATTAGGTTCAGTTGCTTAGAAGTTGGTACATAAATGTGCTGTGTGTCAAAACTGCATTTAAAGCCGGGGAAACTCTTTGTTTTAGTGCTTATTGCTTCAACTAGCAAATTTGCCAATCCGTAAAAATAACACACGATACATATAATATTTTCTGATAATTGGTTATTGATTATTGATTACTTATCCGAATTCATCGAAAATAAAAAAAAATCCGGTTTTATTGTTGTTTACTGTAAGGTCGAATCAGGTAGTTACAAGCTAAACCTCTTTCAAAATACCTCCACATATTTGCGTACATTCTGAACTATGCCATTATTGAATTAAATTAAAATCTGGCATTCATGGTTACGACAATCTCGGGAAATGATAGCATGACAATAACTAAGGACGTATATTTAGTCACAGTAAACAAGCTCCTTCTCAACACAGTTCCGATCGATATGGCAACACCTAAATCTATCATTTTGTCGATAATTTTTAAAACACCAACAAAACTTGATGCTATATATTAAGAAGTAATAAATCAGCAAATACATACATCACTAATGTAAATTTGTTATCCATCTCATATATTTATTTTGTTAAAATTATTATAAAGGTGGAAGTGAAAGACGTTTGTTTAGTGTTAACATACCGGATGCGAACCTGTGGTCGTTTTGTTTAGCTGAAGCAAGAATACACCATTAAAAACAATGCCTTGGCGAATATATAGAACACAAATGGGTTGGTAATGTAATTTTGGAAGGACAAGTGTCAAAAATGGTTTAATGTTGATGTTGGTTTTAGATTGACTACAGTGTAAATAATTTGATATAAGTCCACACATAAGTGAACTATTGTATCGAGATGTGTGAAAACCTAACGGACCGAAATCATCAGATCTTCCAGGAGAAGGATTTGTGTAGGTTTGGCCACGTCCTCAGTACCTCCGAATAACCTCCGTCACAAGGTGTTCAAATGTCAGTCAATTTCTGAGTATCCTACATGTGATCAATTCTTTATACCAACAGTCCGAATATGTTCACACTTATTCATTATCAATTCCTTTTAAGAAGGAAACGATAATATACTTACCTGTAAACTTACCGACGTCACATGTTCACATGGCCTATGATGATTATTTATCTTGAGTGATCGCAAAGAATTTGCGTATTTTTCCAGTGTCCAATATTAATCTCATCGTTTACTATCAATCAATGTTTCAACGTGAATTTGTACAATTTTTATTTTTTACAAATTACTTTCTTGAAAAATTGGTAATATACTTACCTATAAACTCAAACGACGTGACGTGTTCATATAAAATGACGTTCACTTATAGTGAATGACCACAACTGAGTTTGTGTATATACACATGTACATGCATTTTTCCAGTCATTACTACTTATCCAATATTACTTACCTCGTTTTATTAACAGTCAAATTAACGTGCATTTGTACACATTCTCTTCATTACAAATTATTTTCATTGACTTTCATTTATATTGAGGGATTTCAATGAATTTGTGTATTTTTTTAGTGTCCAATATTACTTACCTCGTTTTATTTAACAGCCAATGTCTAAATCAGCGTGCATTTGTACACGTTATATTCATTACTAATTATTTCCAAAATGGTAATATGTACCTATGCCTGCATAAACTTAAATGACGTCACATGTTCATATAAAATGACGTTCATTTATATTGAGTGATCACAATTGAGTTTTGTGTCTATACACATGTACATATATTTTTCCAGTCAATTGTCCAATATTACTTACCTCGTTCTATTAACAATCAAAGTCTTAATTAACGTCCGTTTCTACACGTTCTATTCATTAAGAATTATTTTATTTTCATGATAAATGGTCATATGTACTTGTACCTACATCAATTTAAACGACGTCACTTGTTCATATAAAATGACATTCATTTATATAAAGAATCGCAATGATTATGTGTATTCTCACAATGTTCAATATTGTCTACCTCGTTTTAAACATATAACAGCCAATGTCTAAATTAACGTGCATATGTACACGTTCCATTCATTAAAAATTAATTCCATGAAAAATGGTAATATGTACTTATATCTGCATAAACTTAAATGACGTCACATTTTCATACAAAATGACGTACATTTATGCAAAGAGTTCGCAATGCATTTGTGTATTCTCACAGTGATTAATATTGCTTACCTTGTTCTACATAACAGGCAATGTCATAATTAACGTTCATTACATATTATTGCGATGAACAATGGTAACATGTACTTATACCTGCATATACTTAAATGACGTCACATGTTCATATAAATGACGTTTATTTGTATTACGGACCGATCACAGTTGAGTTTTGTGTCTATACACAAGTACATGCATTTTTCCAGTCAATTGTCCAATATGGCTTACCTCGTTTTATTAACAGTAAAAGCCTTAATTAACGTGCATTTATACACGTTCTATTCATTACAAATTGTTTTCATGAAAAATGGTAATATGTATTTATCTGCACCAATTTAAACGACGTCACATGTTCATATAAAATGACGTTCATTTGTATTGAGTGATGGCATTGAATTTGTTCCACTATCCAATATTACTTACCATGATTTATTAACAGTTGAAAATCTAAATGAACGTGCATTTTCACACGTTCTATAGACTACAAATTACGTTCATAAAATGATCACGTACTTACCTGTAAATATTTGTGTTTGAATCTGATCATGTTGGTTTTTTACATATGTTTATCTTGAAAGTAGGCAGTATAAATATAAATATATCATTTGCGCATGGATGTATTGTGCACGCAAACTAGATTACAAGGGTGCGATGTTAGAGTGTATTATGTGGGACTTGTTTGTGCATGGTGTACAGTATGGTGGATTCTGTCCGGGCATGAGATGATAAAGTTTTCAATTTAAGTATAGAGTTTGTAATATATAAACATTGTTGTATGTTGTGTAAATACTAGTAGCAGGCCAAATTCACCAGAATTTCTCATCCAAATCAAATTATTTCTCCTGGTTATACCAGTTTTTCCATTTCCATTTTAAAATTTTGTTACTTTCTATGTCTTTGCAATGTGGTGACTTATGATACCTATTTTGCTAAGTATATTGGTAAAGTAATTTCACGACTAAATCCTATGTACATCGTAACGAAGTGGCGCTATTTTTTAACACGTAAACCTCGTCTTTTGCAAACTGACTATGTTTGGACACGGAGATATCCCTACTATGCATATCATATTACATAATGCCCGTTGATTGTTTTTCGCACCGTGTCCTTATTGGTTTGTATCACGCGAGGTCAAGTCGGTTACCTTTGAGCAAACAATTAGACCTCAT